TTTTTTGGTTAATATAATGGGTGATGCGGGGTAGGTTCGGTTCTTATTGTTTTGCGTTGGTTGGGTGTCGTTGGAAGGGACTGTATTGTGGTGTTGATGTTCTCAAGATGGGATGGTTTTAAGTCTTTATAGGTATTTTGTGACAATGTCGTGAGTCATGAAGGAAGATTGTTATGTTATGTTTTTTCAAGAGGAGAGGGAAAAGAAAGATTGATTTCTGCTTTGGGATGGAAATTGAAGCTTTTCGGGCCAATGAGGGACATGACGTCTCGTCGTTGTTGGCGGGCGGTGAGCTTATCGGGGTCTGATTGGAGGGCGGGGTCATTTATCCGTTTATCTCACACGAGATGCCCCTCGGCGTGACTCACGGGACTTACGGTCTAGAACTAACTTATCAGGTAAAGGAGACTCAGCCCGCACGACAACTATGATTGAATATAGACCCTTGCGAAACAATGCATGTCTGACGGCCCCACTACTAATATCTTAAATGGTATCTAAGCTCATAGGGCAAAAAGGTTAATTAATTGAGAGCGTTCCTGGTTCCAGACCATCCCAATTCACATGTCCAATAGCTCTTCGATATATCCATCCAACGCGATCATCTTGAACTTGTTCCCCCATTTCGAGCGGAACTCCTTCTTGCGATAGGCGTAGCTGGTGACCTGAGAAAAGCTCACCAGTTCCACCGTCCATCCCCGCCGCAGCGCTCGCTCTACCATCTTCATGAATCCCCCGGAGAATTCGGCTTCCGCCGCATCTCCCGTAGCTAAAACGATGGTCGCTGGTTCATCCGTATCCAACAGACTTTCTAGGATCTTCAGATGCAGAATTTCGTCCACACCCTGTTCGACCCAGCGCTCTTCCGGTGCGTCGTTCGTTTCAGAACCACTGCCTCCGTCCTGAGCGCCCGCCCGAGGACCTTTGCGGAATTTCAGCTGACGACGAGTCGGTTGTTTCACCTTGTGCACTCGGTTGAGAATGTTCATCTCGTAGCCGAGTTTCTCGCCGTCGTCGATCGCAGCGAAGCGGTCGGAGCCCACCAAGACCCTCTTGGCCGTTGGCCGACCACGCTCCAAGATCAACGAGAAGTTCTGGAATGAGAGTGGCAAGCGGCGGATCCGTGTTTTCACAGGGATGTTTCGGGATACTTTCATAGAATCGTGAAACCCAACCATAATCTGGACAAATGGCGATAATTAGCAGAAGTTGACATGACATTTACGGGCAAAGCTAACTTACATTAGACATATCGACAAAGACATGAATCGGGCGACATGTGAGAGGAGAGGCTGGTTTGGACTTCCCAGAGCGCCCCACTTGAGTTATAGTCTCTGCATAGTCGGGAAAGTTCTTCAACAACTTGGTTAAGAGACCGACTTTTCGATCGGCTGCCGACTTGTACGCCAGGGGCTGCACACGAATGGCGCCGCCGGGGAGGTTTTGAATAGCGATAGGGGCTAATGCCCCGCCGGATTCATCAAACGAGGATGGCGGGGTATCGGACGACTCACTTAAGGCCTCCGCGATGCCCACCTGAGACGGGATGAAAGGAACGACGCCCCGTTTGGAATAGGATGGGTCAAAGATGCTCGGGCTGTCGGATTCTGCTTCCGCAGTGCTTTCCGACAAGTGAAGAGCTTCATAGGTTGGTTGCTTGGTTTGATTACGATGTTTTGGGGTACGATATTCAACGGTAGCCTTGTGGGACTTGGACTCATCCGATGAGGGGATCGGCCGAGGAGGCGTACGCGGAAGCGTTTTATCAAGGCTATCAATGTTTGTGGCCCCGTGAGAAGGACGCTTGAGAATCTGAATCCGCTTAGGCTGCTGTGGAGGTTGTTCGATAATGCTTTCCTTGGTGGCTTGACGAAGGCCAGCTTCTGCCCCAACCGGAGGGGTGGTGTTGCCAAGGAAATCCCATAGGGAGGAGAAGTCACCAAGCTTTGGGGGTCCACCGCTCTCGTGCTTCAGATCGGGTGCCGAGTCATTTAGAGCTTGGGCAGCAACCGTGCCGGGAGTGGATGGAGCTTGGTCGCAGTCATTGTGGCGAGCAGTGATGGAACGGTCACCGCCGCTGTACGTCGGCGAGCGCAGTAGATTAATCACCGGAGTGAAATCCCAGTTCGAAGAAGATGTAGCCGACGATGGCATTGACAGCAATGGACTCGGATGTCAGGTAAAATGTTGTGTAGAATTCCGCTCGAAGTAGGGATGTGCCTTGGTGGCAATACGCGGGGTTGGAAAGACAGACAGAAAGGGTAGAAAGCTTTCAAGTACAGAAGACAGACAACTATTAATGCGCACAATTCGAACGCAAAAGATAGGGCATTAAGATAAAGCGCATCAACATGGTGGTCATTGAGACCCGACCAGACGACGATGTTCACGCCAAACGCATTGAAAGAAGGCAAGTTGACAAAGGACAGAAGAGAGAGAGAGTTGATTAGGTTAGGTTAGGTTAGGTTAGGCACGGAGACTCGGAGACTCGCCGCCTGCAATGACTCGCCGCGTGGCGGTGAACAACTGTCATGGTACTGCCACTACTTACCGCTTGCTGCCTTGAGCCGGTAACAACACTAATCCAAATAGAGAAGGTACTTTTTCGGCATTCGCTGAAATAGATAATCCGAACGGAATTATATTTCCCCACGGGCCCACCAAAACCACTAATCCAGTTTTGGGCTAGCCTGGATTGTAGGTCATGGCGACGTCATTCGTCCCAGAATCTAGAATCGCAGGAATGACGAGGTCGATTTTTTTATTCCTGCTTTCTTCTGGAATCGCCAATTGCATGGCTGTGTAGATGGTCATTGGTGGGTTCGCTCGTCACCATGACGCGCATTCAATGATCATCGTTCCATGGACGCAGTTCTGGATTCACGTTCAGAGGCCAGACTCAACATTACTTGTGCCTCGGGTGAATTGCCTCGCGGAGCAAATCAAGGTTATCAACGTCATGGAGGTACAGATATAGAAGCAGATGAAAGATATATAAACCCTTCAATCCCTGGTCTTAATCCCTTCTTCATCAATCTCAACAAGACAAACAATCGAATCACAACCACTCTTATCAACTTCTACTCTTTTAACCACTTTCACACTTTCTACCAAACCACTCGCAAATATGTCTGACGCCGGACGCAAGGACTGGAGCACCAGTACGTTGACATGCATATAATGCTGCATTGGATATCTCGCTAACTCCTCCGCAGAGGCCAAGGAGGAGCTCACTCCTGACTCCGCCAAGTCCACTCAGCAGAAGATGAAGGAGGGCGCCACTGATATTGGTGACCGCTTCGCCCGTGGCGCCCAGCCCGACGACCAGAAGTCTGGCATGCAGGAGACCTTCGACAAGGGCCAGCGCATGCATGACAACAAGAACCACGGCGGTACCGGCGAGTCGATGTAAGTGTTCATGCAGTGTATTCGAGCTATTGTCGAGAGACTAACCGACTTTGCAGCCTTGACAAGGCCAAGAACGCGATGGGTCTCGGTGACCATTAAGCTTGAGTCTGGAGGATCACCCGTGACCGTTCATCATGAATACTTCTTATGATCTGATGATTTAATCCTCATGTACTGTATTAAGCTTAGTATTTTGTGTCAATTAATGACCATCATATGAATTAATCAGAACTTAATATTCTGAACCATTTCACTTTCCCCGTATAGATTGACCAAGCTTCGAGTCTCGTTCCTGGGTAAGCTCGTTGAGTTCCCCTAACAACTCCCGATACTTAGCCCGCGCCCCTTGGATGTCTGTAGGAAGGTCTTGGAACAGTTGAACCCGATGTTCCAAGTTCCTGACCGTATTCATAAGCTTCTTGACGTCTTCCTCCTCTGCTAGCACCTCACCCAACGTAGGCCCTTTACTTTGATTTCTTTTCAAAGCAGCAACCCTATCCTGATATTCACCAACTTTAGCAGCGAGAGCCTTCGTGCCTTTCGTCCACTCAGCCGTCATAGCCGGGAGATCAGCCGGAACTTCATACGCCGGATCAGACCTTAGTTCATCCAGTTGCCGGCGCAGCGCCTCCAATTCCCTCTGCAAATAATCATGTAGCATATCCACCTTGGCCAGCTGGTCTTGCGCGCCAAATTCCTCCTTCGTCAGTTCGAGTACGGATTGACCCAGGTGTCCCGCCTCCGCGTTCAGAGCACCCAATGCCGCAGCCGATTTCGCTAGATCGTCTAGATCCTGTTCACCCCTATCATCGAGGCAATATTCCAACTCGTCGAGTATCTCCTTCTTCTGTTTCTCTTCTGTCTCTTCGCGCGCTTTGAATCCCTGCACAGCTTGTTCGCGTGCCTGGTGTAGGAGGGACGCTTCCTCGTCGGCGGTGTCGTTGGCTGCCGCTAGGGCAAGTAATGTCCGTAGTGTATCTTCATTGCGTTCGAATGTGGGCACTGGGTTCGGAGCATATTGGCGACTTAGCCAGGAGTTGACATAGGCCCAATCTTTCGCCTGGATGGCTGCTTGTCGCGCTTTGGCGGGGGAAAGGAGGGGGCTATCCATTGGCGGTGAGCGATGGGATATACACGGAAAGGATCAGGTTCTGAGAGTAAACGCGATAAGAATTGGAAAGGTACTCGCTAGGGGATGGTGGCTGATCTATTGAAGTTGGGGTTCGTGGACTGCGGTTCGTGGGACGGATAAAACAAACCACTAACCTAGTTACTGCACAAAGCGTTCATTAAATGCCTTAGTTAAATCGACTCACTGCAGTGACTTTTCCCTTTCCGCTTTAGGCCCCGACTTGGCACCGCTTTTGCTCGCTTTGAGCGGCCCGGAGCGTGGGGGGAGCACGAAGGTGCGTGTCCCGAGGGATCCAAACTGCGTATACGAGCCCTCAGTCAAATCGTCTATAATATATAACTACTGCCTACTGCCTCTTTAATTTGTTCCCGTGTATCCGTACATTTCTTCACATCCCCATTTTGTAAGGGACTTTGACAAAATATTCCACTACTACCTGTCTAATGGTTTCACAGTATAGTTTTCACATACATAAAACCTGACTTAGACTTAAATCCCTAGCTTTTCCCATTATTGTAGATTTTCTATTTTCTAAAGATCATAAGAAAAGAAAAAAGAAAAATATCAGTCCTAGGCCGGAATTACCGATACAACTCCATGTAAGTCACCTAAATTGTCGTATCCATCTTTCACTGCTGGTCGTATTCTTAACGTCGCTATACATGGAGCTCATACAAGCAAGGTCTAATCAAAATAAGTGCTTATTTGAACGAAGATCCGGACTACCACTTAGCAAACACTCATTTAGTCTCTCCTTGTACGAAGAGCCCCTCAAGACCCGTCCAAAAGGACTCGTCGCCAACTTGAGCTGCAAATCCTTGCCCTCCAGCAAAGGCCTCCCGCATACTTTCTGCTAGCGACCTGACTTTCAGTTCGGGATACAGATCATGCGCATCCAGGTAGCCTAAATACTTCGCGTAGGAAGTCTCATTAACCCCCGTGCACCAACTGTAGTACAGGTATTACACAGTGACTTTCTGCCAGATTGTGAACGACGCCGTTTCCGGTTGATGTGCAAGATCGAGTACTTGTTTCGGCGTGACTGCAATGTAGAAGTGGCTGCAGTGATGTGATGTGCTAGGGTGATATAAACGCCGCCTGCTTCTGAGCACATAGGCAATGAATCCTACTGCAGCTTGACTCTAACACCACTTCCGTTACCATCTTCCCAACTGTTGCCCGATGGTGACACCCGTAGGGCGGGGTAGAGAGAGGCGTATCTACTATAGCAACATAGTTCTTTGCCCGCTTGTCGCTCCTGTTTGTGCATCTTTAGGACAGCCCGGACATTTTCGACACCCTTTGCAAGTTCACTCCAACAGGCTCACAGGAAGAAGTTCAGTTGACTCATTGTCATTTCTTAAATAGGAAGTAATTTTACGGGGGGCGAAGCAAATCTGGCTTCACTCTGGACCCAGCTTAATCTATGTTGATTTATCGCGCAGAAAGTTTATGGATCATCCAGCATTCAAGATACCTAGCCGACTTAGCAGTAGAACGTGATACGTCCCTTCGGTCTTCTATTGTCTAGAGATCTATTGTGATAGGCTGATCATGAGAACTAGTCAAACCCGGTCATTTCGTGCCTAACTTGTAGGGTCTAAACAACTTGAGCTTGTCTCGGCGTTTTGCATTTTAACTCTCCGCAATGTATGTTTAACTGTTATCATTCTGCCTAGGTCGCTGCGCTCTGTTATACATCTTGCTCTAGTTAAGTTTACTGGTATAACCAACAGCCCAGGGTATTAGCTAGAGTGTGGCTAAATCCTATGTCCACAATATGGAGACCTTGGGTAATGGATGTCCTGCATTTTATTATCGCGCTTGAACCCACTGTATCAGCGATATTCAATTAGCTAGGCGTGGAAAAGTTGTTGAAAATGCAATGATGTCGGATACTCTATCCTTGTAAGGCTTTGGATCTAAGAGCGGGTGCCTTTAAGCCGAGGATTTTGCTGCTCAAGCCTCTCCTAGATGAGTCGTTGTCTGGATGTTGTTGGAAGGCGCTCTGGAGACCCACTTCCAAAACGAGCTAATTTGGATAAGCCCTAACTCGGCCTTGAATCCCTTGATTATACGTGAGCCCGCGGGCTCTCAATAGACCCCTCTCAAAGCGTGACTCAGTGCAATATGTTACTATAAGAACCCGTAACATGTACCACTGGAATAGACGTTTAAAGAAGCGGCGTAGAAATCTAAGTAACTCAAAAAGACCGACAGGACCATCATATGTTTGCGGCATCCCGACGATTGAAGTGTTCTCTAAGGCTTATAGTTCCAGTCAGCATGCCTTATCCATCCATTGTGCAACAAGTTGGCGTGCCTCATGGTACTGCCAGCCGACCTACACATTCCCTGTCTCTCAGGGCAAGTACCTCGTTGAGAAACACAAGCAATGGCCTCTGGGACATTCTTAACGATCTCTGGCATCTGGAGAGCAACCCTCACGGCTATGTCACACTCGGGGTTGCAGACAATGCACTGATGCAAGAACGTCTACTACATTGCATGAACAGCAACTTCGATCTTCCCGGACAGCACCTTTTATTGAACGACACCATCACGGGGTCTGTTCGGCTGAAAACTGCCATCGCTCGCTTTCTCACTCGTTATCTCAGTCCAGCAAAAGCGCTTAAGCCGTCGCAGATAGTTGCCGCCAATGGGGTTTCATCTGCAACCGAGCATTGCTCCTGGGCTTTGTGTGACCCGGGTGAAGGGATGCTGGTAGGGCGCCCGTATTATCGAGGTTTCAACAGAGATGTTTGCCTGCAGCCAGGGGCTAAGCTCGTTCCAGTCAGCTTCGACGAGGTAGATCCTGTCAGTGTTTCTGCTGTGTCTAAATACGAAAAAGCCATCATAAGTTCCCGTGAGCATGGCTGTACTATACGAGCCATTATGCTCTGCAACCCGCACAACCCCTGTGACGAGCTCCAACATTAGGTTTGACCTGAGGCAGTATCAGTGACCCGCCACTGATATAGGTCGGTCAATATTTTTTATACTTTCTTATATTTACAAGTAACTAAGAAAGATCTCAAGTTGAAACTACGTCTCTGATGTCTCCTTCTCGAACTCACTTAACTGGATCGTGCCAGAAACTATGTACTGTTTAGAGTAGAAGAGCTTTCGTTCCTTTAAATTAACCTCGTAAGAAGAGCTTCAGAAACAAGAGGCCGCCACTGCGGAAGAAGAACGAGCACTGCAACAGCTATTAGAGGGGCTCATTCTTCGCGAAGAAGGCGTCTTGGAACGTTTGTTGACAGCAACATGGCTCCAGAGCCCTCTCCTTTTTCTTGAAGTCAGCTTTTCACCACATTTTACACGTTGGTAGGAGGATCGCTACTGATGGGCTTCTTCCTCGAAGACAAGAACCTCTTTCGCGGATTCGGAGGCTCAGCAGATATACGCGCAAACGACGCCCTAGCTCTCCAGCGCGTCCAACTTATCGCAAGCTAAATAGAACGCCGAACGCAAACCTTAAAGACTTTCCCCTTGGGTCAATGCAATTCTGGTCATTCCTTGTGGAACTGATGAAGCTTTGTCAAAAACATGGCGTTCATCTGATCAGCGATGAGATATATGCTCTGTCAGTTTGGAGATATGGTCAGGACGGGGCAACGCGCATGGAAGGATTTACTTCAGTGCTTTCCATTGACCATGAGGGACTGATCGACCCGAAGCTTGTTCATGTGCTTTGGGGTGTTAGTAAGGATTTTGGCGCAAATGGAGTGCGACTAGGTGTGATTATTTCCCAAGACAACGGCGACTTGCTTGAATCGACCCGAGGGGTAGGCCAGTTTAGCTCGATTTCTGGCTTCGCAGACTATCTGACGACAACCATTCTCGAAGATGAAGAGTTCGTGGACCGATATATTGAGGAAAACCATGAGAAGCTTGCTGCAGCTTACAACTATGTTGTCACATATCTGGATGACCACAGAATACGCTATGCAAGAGGATCGAACGCGGGGTTCTTTGTCTGGTGCGATCTATTAACAGCTTATTTGAGAATCCAAGCAAACGGTCCACCTGATGACAGCGACTCTGCAAAGTGGAACAGAAGTAGGGAGCTGGCAGGAAAGTTGGCGCAGCATAAAGTGCACCTTGGAGTTGGCGATGACTTTGGTAGTGAGCAGCCCGGATGGTTCCGTATTACCTTTTCGCAACACCGTGCCCAGCTCGATGAGGGATTGAAACGGATTGTTAAAGCCCTTCATTCTTGAGAGTTTGGACAAGTGAAAATCACGGCACAGATCAATACCAGCTGTGCCATGACAGATATGCCATACTACTTGCAAGATCTCAGCTTATCACATATGGTCCCATGATATGTCACTAATCACTCGTCGAGCTGTATGACAACTACGAGATAAATGTACTGCGTGTGCCGACGCGTTCTCCCTGCTTTAAATTACAATGCCTTTGATAATTATTTGTTAGCCTAATCCATTCCATAAATTGATTGAATCAATTATCAAGTGGACTGAAAATTGGTAAAACCTTTGAGTTCTGGCTGATAGAGTAATGGAACGGAGGGTTAATCGTGGACTCGTGGCCCCGGGTTTCCAATACACCTCCTTAAGCAGAAGTACGAAAGGAGGCATCCCTGCGATGTTACAGTGATTTAGTCTAGATGTTGCAAGTGAGGAGTAGTGCAAATAGCCTTATGCCACGGATAGGCGCTGAGATCAAGGCCAATACAACCCTATAATGCGCTAATGTATGGCCAAGCTGTCGGGCCCGGGTAACGGGGCTGCTGGAGAGATGGATGACTATCCCCACCGCATGTTGCTATTTCTATGCCCTCTTCCTACATGGTCTAGCTGATCTGGACTATTACGAATAGCTCTGCTTTGAATATCGAAGCTCGTTTCACTGGTGGGAGAGTCTGTAATCAGATAGCCAGCCTGGCTGGCTTATGACTAAAGACTGCAGAGGTAACTAATCCTAGACGAGTGGGATGATACTACTACATACCTAGCGGGGATCCGGAGATTCACCTAGCGTTCAAGCCGGACGGTTAGCCACCACCACTACCCCGGGGATAGACAACGTAGCCCTGCTCACACACCACGGATCGGGCCTTCCCCCGCCTTTGACCCATGGCTGAGTCCAGGTAGCTTACTGTGATAGGGATATCTAACTACCTGGACTGGCAACAACACCTATGTTATTACTTCTTAGATCCCTCTAGTCCCCCAGTATTACTCTTAGAGTGTCTTATTGCGTTACACACGACAGGAAACCTCTGGGTTCTGACTCTTTCTTGATCATTCGTTATGGCTATGCAAACGACGACGACCAGTGTCCTAGACGATGCCATCGAGATGCGTAGGCCTGGGACAAACGGTACGGTTGTCGAAGAGAGCAACTCACCTCTAACGAGGGAGGATTATATAGACCCCGAGACCCGCTCAGCTGAAGAGGCTCAGCAGTACCCAGGGACATATTACAACGTAGATATTCTGTCCGAGTCACACAGAAACTGAGAGAGACTGTAGAAGCTAATCATTCTCGGCTCAGTAGTATAACTGATCACTTCTACACAGTTACTGATGTGGGTTGGTACGCTTCGACACTCAGGCTCTGCCCTTGCATAGCCGTCTCTTAGGTCTGAAGATGAGCAGACCCACACATCAGTAAGCTGCGGCTTTTAAACTAGATGCAGCGTTGCAGGGTCTGTAACTCTAGTAATATTGGCTCTGTGGAAGGTGTGTCACACATGAATTAAGTTTCCACTATAATCGACTATTGAAAAAGTCACAGGGCCGGCATATTATGGGTCATCTGTGCAACCGTATATGAGGCTATTGCAATATTTAGTGGAGCCTACTTATGATATATCTCTCTGCCGAAATGATAGTCCTGCAGAGAGTATATGCTAGCTCGTCAGTGCTATCTATGTAAGTTCTCAGCTATGACCTCAGCGAAATGCGGCCACATGCTGAGCATAAGTAATTTAATTGTTTACACCTGACTTTTATGTTTGCTTTTATTTACTCTTAGTTCACTATTTACTCCTAAGGTATAAATTTAAGCCTTCGACTCTACCGTTCTCAATAATTACCAGCTCTGTACGAGTAGCTAACTTCTCAAACAGCAGTGGTACTACTTACTATGGCAACCCGGATCTGTGCTCTGGTCCCTGCATATACCGAACTACTAGATACTGGTTCTTCTACACTCGAGACTGTCTACTAATATATATTAGAACTGGGTATCGAAGTCTTCTCTCTTATTTATTTACTTCCAATAGAGGGATACCGAGGAAGGTGGCTGTATATGTACTAGTGAGTCTTGGCACTATGGACTGAACGTCAATGCGTGGCCGGCGGTGTTCGCTGAACTTCCCGCTTCCCGTACGCCAATTGACCCTCTCCACGGAGCACCAGAGAATCCTCCATGACCAGCTATTTCCCCCCGGTTGGGGCTAATCCCAGTCATGCTTCGACCAGGACACCTTCCCCAGCCGCTTCCCCGTTGTCGCCGCCCGCGACGCAGCGATCCAATGCCTTGACGAACCGGTTGACAAGTGTACTCTCCGCATCTTATGCGGACTCGGACATACGCGATGCACTTGAGACCCTCAGCCTGCGAGACATACATAACACACCGGAAGTACGACGACAATTGCGGCTGGACGTGCAGAAGGAAGTAGTCGATTGTAATGCGGAGATCGTACGGGACTTTGGGAAAGTTGCGGAGGTAATCTAACAATGACGGGAGGGGAATGGGAAAGAAGTTATTGATGCTAATTCGTATGGATGGAACAGCAATTGAAGCGAATCGGCACCGTAATTACCAGCTTGAACCAGACATGCGACGAAATGCGAAAGCACATTAGCTTGGCTAGACAAGACACTGCCCCGGTCTTGGAGGAGGCTTCCACGTTGATGAACCAGAAGAAGGAGGCCGAAACGAAACAACAATTGCTCGACGCCTTTACGAAGCACTTCGTCGTTTCGGATGATGATATTCTGGTCTTGACGTCGCTGGAGGACCCCATCAATGACCAATTCTTCGACGTGCTCGCCCGTGTGAAGCAGGTGCACCGCGACTGCGAAGCTTTACTGGGCGGAGAGAATCAGCGACTGGGTCTGGAGCTGATGGACAAGAGCTCCAGAAATCTCAACTCTGCGTATCAGAAGCTCTACAGGTGGATCCAGAAGGAGTTCAAATCACTGAATCTGGAAGATCCCCGGATCAGTAGCTCGATCCGACGCGCGCTGCGAGTGCTGGCGGAACGACCGAGCCTGTTCCACAGCTGTCTGGATTTCTTCGCAGAGGCGCGTGATTATACCCTTTCTGATGCCTTCCACTACGCTCTTACGGATGCGGTTTCCGGCACTGCAGGTGATAGCAATGTGAAGCCAATTGAGTTCTCTGCTCATGACCCCCTGAGGTATATTGGAGACATGCTGGCCTGGGTGCATTCGACCACCGTATCTGAGCGGGAGGCCCTCGAAGCCCTGTTTGTGGCTGATGGTGAGGAGCTTGCAAGGGGAATCCAGGCCGGACTCAGCAGCGAGCCTTGGTCTCGTATTGATGAGCATGAGGAAGTCGCGTTTGATGGACAAAAGGCTCTCAGTGACCTGGTGAACCGGGACCTGATCGGAGTTTCTCGAGCTTTACGTCAGCGAGTCGAGTTGGTGATCCAAGGTCATGATGACCCAGTTACTTGCTACAAAGTTGTTGGTCTATTATCGTTCTACCGGACGACCTTTCAGAAATTACTGGGACCTAACTCCAACCTGGCAGAATTATTGGGGACCCTGGAAAAGTTCACTTTCAGCCACTTTGAGGCTCTTATGAAGGAAGTAGTTAGCAGTCTGTCGACCGACCACCTAGCTCTGACTCCTTCGGAGGATCTATCCACACCCCAATTCCTAGTCGACGCACTCGAAGGTTTGACTTCTCTCATGAAGACCTATGAAGCTTCCTTCGGAGTGGATGATCTGGAGTCCACTTCGAACGAAAACCGGTTCACCCCTGTTCTCCGCGCCGCGTTTGATCCATTCTTGGAATTGGCGACGTCGTCGGCAGAAGAGCTATCCAATGCTACCGCGCGTGCAATCTATCTGACCAACATCCATCTCACTGCACGAACGACCGTTTCGGAATACTCTTTCGTCAGCACAACACATCTCAACCCCATCTCTACAAAACTTTCGTCTCTCCGCATAGATCTACTGGATATTCAACACCGCTACCTGCTGGACGAGTCTGGTCTCCAGGTATTGCTCACAGCCCTTGAGCCTTTCTCCCAATCATCCTTAGCCAAACCAGCCGCGGAAACAGAGAAGCAACCCTCACATCCGCCAGAGAGTCAGCCGCAGCAACCACCTAACCTGGCTGATATTGCGACTCTCCCGGCCTTCCAACCTGAAGCTCTCATCGCGGTCAGCCAGCAACTTGATGACTTCCTCCCATCCGCTTTGATGGATGCCACAGACAATCTGAAGCGCTTGCGCAGTGCCGCGTTCGTCAAGAGCGTGACGGAGGAAGCGGTGGAGGCATTCTGTCGCGACTTCGAGTTCGTTGAGGGTATGATCATTGGTGCCGATGAGGCAAGAGGTAAGGTTGATGTCACTCGTGTGGACAGAGGAAGTGAGACTGGTGCCGAGAGCGAAGAGGGCATGGAGGAGGGAGAGAACGAATGGGGTCTAAGAAGACTTTTCCCCCGTACAACGGGAGAGATCCGGGTCTTGCTCAGTTGATTAAATTCGCACCCGATCCATGCCGTGCCAATATACTCTAAACCCCAGTTTTTGTATATAAAGTTCCTTACATATAATGTGATTCTACCAGTCTTACCACATCAATCAGTTCTCAGACAATAACCCTACAGCTAAGGGCCCCTCTAAACCCTCCTAACCATGATACCATAAGGATCCCGGTCACTCTCACTAACATGCACCTCACACGCCCCATCCTTCAAAACATCCACAAACCCCTCCTCACCACCGTCCACTGCCTTCAACGCTTCTGCGCGCTGAATCTCCCACTCCTTCTTAAGCACCCCCTCCAACTTCTCCCTCATAACAGCCCTCAAATACCCCCTCTCCGTATTTGAATGCGCAAGTGCAACAACCACCTTCCCCCGCTCAATAGCCGCCAACGCCTCATGATGGCTCATCTCCCCCGTAAACAGCAAATCGGGCACATTGCCCCCCTTCATAAGAACACTGGACCCAGACCCGGGACAAACGCCCACCGTGCGAATCGAAATCTCATCCACAGACACCCCCTGCGGAATGGCAATGGGGATACCACCGGGGAATCCGACACCGTCTGCAATTCTATCCACGAGAGATGTCAATGGCTGGGGAGAGTCGAAGGTAACGAGACGGCCCATTCCGGCGGTTTCCATGTTCTCTGGGAGAGGGGGCGGCGAGGGGTGGATTGTTGTTCTGGTGTGTTTTGGGATTGAGCTTGCCTCAGCGGGGACCACGGCGTGGGGGGTTGGGTAGGATGGGGCTGAGTATGTCTTCGAGGAGGAGGATTGGATTGGCGCATTATTGGTGGAAGAAGGAGAGGGCGAGGGGGTGATTGAGCCGGTGACGATGTCGCAGAGCCAGTCGGCCATTCCGCCTGGGGTGGCGTCGACGGCTGTGTGTGGGGAGTAGACGCTGATGCCTTCCTGTGCGAGACGGAGGAGGGATTGTTGTTGGGGGTCGGTGAAGGTGAGGGATTTTAGTCCCCGGAAGATGATCGGGTCTTTTTAATTGTGTTAGTGGTTTTGTATCTTTTTTTTCTTTCTTCTATGTTATGCCGGAGGGGGAGGGGCCCTACGGTAGGCGACGATTGCGGAGTCTTTGCGCGCAATGGCTTCATCTGCGACGGCTTTTGTGAGGTCTATGGCTAGAAGAACGGAGTTCTTTTGGCGTCGGGTTGGGTTGAAGGGCGCTTCGAGGAGGACTGGAGGTGGTGTGTTAGTTGACTTGAGCGAGGTGGGTTGGTGGGTGAGGGAGGAGGGGCTTACGGCCTGTGTTATCCCAGCTTTTGTCTGCGAGGGTTTCGGGGTAGCTGTGCGTGTTGTCAGTGATTGGGTTCAAGGGTGTGTGTGGTATACGCTATCTGGCCTAAGTGCCAGAGGGCAATTGGGAGAGGTAGAAATGCATACAGCTTCCTCATAGAGCTCACCACGGCCTTGGTGAAGGGCGATGACGTGGGGGACAGCGTTGCAGACATTGTTGAGTAGAGGCGGGCAGAGGACCGGAGAAGGGGGTTCATAGAAGGCTTTATGTGGCCTATACAATTGGGGTCCGGAGTAATTGAAGGAAGGACTTGTGTAGGTGGGGAATTGGAGCTATAGAGGAGACAATTTATATCAAATCATGCTTGATTAGATGGAGCAGCAAAAGCTGACGCCACAGCTCACCAGCCACAGCATCACATGACCTTATCAAAACCCGAGTCAATGTGTTGGAATTACTTTACTTCATAGTAACATAGATGGTCTTATCTATGTAATTTTCCATTACATACTATATATTTGATGAATATTATTGGATAAATGGTATGATAATTTTATATTTGTCTTGAGCAGGTGTTATATATTGGAATACCGTTTCCAAGCCCACCCAAGTGTTGGGACTGGACTACCTCGGTCAACTGCGGTACTTTTGTTGGACATTCCATGGGACTGCAGGTGGGTTAGTTTTCTCAATTTGCCTTGATATTATCAAATCCATAGCTAGGGGGCAATTGAGTAGTTACTAAAAGTTCGCGTCCAAAACTTGATTAATGAGAGGAGCAATTAGAAATCATGGGTTGGCTTTATTCCCCCCCTACACTGTCCTTCACAGCTAATAAGCATAAGTTGTAACAACAACAGAGTACTTAATCAGCCGAATGATCAAATAGCACTGGTTGTAATATGTACACAGATATGAAGTATCCTACAAAGCAGACCGTGGTGGTTTTCCCACCGCCTCTTCTGCCATTCTGATACCTGCCGTTCGGCCTGAGAAGATACAGCCCCCTAAAAACGTTCCTTCAAGCGCACTATAACCATGCACTCCGCCACCCCCAAAACCCGAGACCTCGCCTGCAGCATACAGGCTTGGGAAAGGTGATCCATCCGGGCGAAGTACCCTCCCATGCAAATCTGTCTCAAGACCTCCCAGAGTCTTACGAGTCAGGAGGTTCAGGCGTACAGCGACAAACGGACCGTGTGACGGATCCGCCAGCTTGTGCGGTTTAGCTACCCGGCCAAAACGATCTGGCCAGTAGTTGCGCCCATTCTGAATAAGCATTATTTGAGCATCTTTCGTAAATTTATTGTCGATTTGCATATCGCGGAGGTGGATCTCATGTTCGATCTTCTCAACGTCCAGAGGAGGGCCGCCTCGTTCTTTGGCAAGTTTGTTCATCCCAGCTACCAGTTGGGGTACTGTTGCCTCCACCACGAAATCTACCCCTTTATCCATGAATGCTTGAACAGGACCAGGGACCGCGGAGCCAAGTATTCGGTAGAGCGTTCTTAGCCTGCTTTTGCCAGTCAAATCAGGGTTCTGCTCGGAGCCCGAGAGTGCGAATTCTTTGCCAATAATCGTTTTATCAAGGACAAACCAAGTATAGTCATAGCCGGTGTTGCATATATGCTTCAAAGTGGCAAGGGTGTCACATCCAGGGTAAAGCATTGGGGGAAGTCGCTTCCCTGTGGCATCCAACCACAGCGAGGAGGGTCCTGGGATAATTCGTATCCCGTGCTGTGGCCAAATGGGATCCCAATTCTGTAGACCTTCAGTGTAGTGCCACATGCGATCTTCATTGATTACATTGGCCCCAGCATCTTTTGCAATTTCAATCATGCGCCCATCCACATGCGCAGGGACACCAATAACGAAGTTTGATGGTGGAGTCCCAAGTCGATCAACAGGCCAGTTCTTCTTAACCAAGTCTACATTGCCACCAATACCTCCACTTGCAATAAGCACTGCGCTGCCGTACACTTCGAATGTGTCGGTGCTCTTTCGGTTGCTTGCTACACCGCGTGCTGTGTCAGACGGCTCGAGCACTTGACCTCGTACACCGATGACAGCACCAGTAGTCTCATCAACAATTAAAGAGTCCACTTGGTGACGAAACATGAACTCCACAAGCCCTTTCTTCGCAGCAGCACGAACCGGCTTCTCAAAAGCCTCCACAATGGCAGGACCAGTGCCCCAGGAAACATGGAATCTCGGGACCTAGAGAACGTGTGAGCTGGAACTATTGCCTCCCCATTACGCCTCCTTCACAGCGCACATCTCGCACGGGGAAATAAACTTACAGAATTTCCATGTCCTCCTGCATTTCCATCTCCACGTTCCGCCCAACCAACACTAGCAAAGCTCACCCCCAACGACTTGACATAACGCTCCATATGATCAGTTGCAAAGTTCACAAATGCCTCTGCCCATTTTCTGGGCCAGAGGTCACATTCACGATCAAACCGTGCGCTGTTGAACCAGTCCTCCATTGCCAGCTTTCGACTATCTTGGATACCCAGCCGACGCTGGTCCGCCGAGTTTACGCAGAACAAACCTCCCAGAGACCAAAACGCTTGTCCACCTAGACTAGCTTCATTCTCTTGGTCTATGATGATAGTGTGGACCTTGCGTTTGGATAGTTCGAAAGCGGCGACCAGGCCAGCTAGTCCACCGCCGACGATGATGACGGGAGAGTTCTTTTGGGCCATTCTAAAGTGTCAAAATTTGTAAAATTTTCTTAGGTATAGTAGTTGTGTTTCAAAATATGGGGTAAAATGTGGAGTCTTTTGATTCTGGGGCAGGGAGGGTAGTACATATGTATTGAATGAGATCACGCGACTGAGGAGCCCTCGGAAGATGAATTCGGTCAATTCACCTCGGCGAATATAATCCTCGCTAGCACAGGGTTGTAGGTTGATATATTCATGGTGGGATATGCATGATAGCGCGATAATAATAGTCTCTTTAATGAAAAAAAAAAAAAAAAAAAAAAAGGGGAAATTCATCGTGATTGATGATGATTCATATCATATTTCATTCCATGTATCTAAAAAATCGAAGATTGAGTTCTCATCTATCAACGCATCGATAAAGCCAACAGACATAGATGACCCATCAGTAATCATCTGATTACATTCCCCATTAGTTGTTTCAACAGTAACAGCATCCGAGTGAGGACCAACAGGATCACCTGTAGAGGCAACAGGCGGATGGGATGGGGAAAAGTTCGGGGCATATGCTGGAAATATTTGCTGTAGAGCCTTCATGAAAATCCCACGAAATAAAGACGCGACCGTATACGTTTTCTGTAATTCTTCCAGAACGCCCATACACATATCGAGCTTATTAAAGCTAAAACGCCTCGAAAGTGGGTTGGCATACCTACAATTAAGAAGGTGGGTTTGCATGACCGGAACTAAGAGGGCGGGTCTATCTTACATTAGATGAGATTCTATAATAAGAAACGAGCAAAAAGAATGGTCCCTTGAACTTACGTCATTGGTCCTACATATTCAAGCAGATTCTCCCGAACAAGAATGTCCAAGATCTCGGTTGACTTTGATGCCGCGGTGTCGGCTTTGGACTGTAGGCGTCGCTGCTCAGACCCTTGTTGATCTAGAGCAAGATTATCTAGATGTTCGCTTGCGGAGGGACGGTAGAGTGTAATAAGAAGCGCCCTGTTGCGGTGGTATTAGTGCTGCCAATGCCAAGGGGGGAAGAGGTAGTCTAACTGATAATGCAGATGAACATGATGTGCGTAAAACTTTGCTAAAGGAGTCAGGTCATGTTCATCTTGGTCTGGTAATCTGCACCGCATGATCTGTGCTTCAAGGGCATTGATCTGACTGATAGAGGACTTCAACTTCAGAGGTTGATTTTTCAGAGCCAGAACCTTACCCAAAAACTGGCTAAGCTCAATTAGAATAATCCAGAACTCTGCCATTCTCGGAAGTTCTTGGGGAATATAAGACACAGAGACGGCTTCAGGTATGCTATCAAGTTCACTGAGTAGGTCAACCGGTACTGACATTGGTAGGTCACAGTCATCTCGATTGATCCTTAGTGGCCTTCCAAGAGTAAGCCCAAGCCAGCGATCCCGGAAGAAACAGGTCCACCACAGACGGCGCCACAAACATCTCTGACGATCTGTGATAGATGAGTTATACTTCAAGAAATCTGGATCCCGGTGTAAACCCAGCATTTGGCAGAGATTGATTGCAATTCCTGTCCAGTACCAAGGTTGCATGTGGTCGTCTTGTTCTGAATGCCAAAATCCCAACAGCAGGGAGGCTTGCAAAAGTGTTACCTTGTTTCTCTCCCCGCCGTTATCGTACATGCACTACATGCATCAACACAGGCAATTGTAAAGGCAAGATGAAGCTATAGATCTTGCTTACCTTGGCACGCGAGTACATCGTGGCTTTCATTTGTTTTCGAGAGACATACCCTTCTTGCTCGTAGAAATGCGGCGATATGAACTGAATGTTAAGCGTCAAGTTAGATTTGTGATGTCATAGGTTGGTTATATTCTTCTCACATTCACCGCAACGAAAAATACACTCCACAACAGTAGCAAATTGCAGTCCCTAAGTCGCCCTTGATGTTGATAGTTCAGAATGGAGTCCACTTCAATTACCGGCATGATCGGATGCACATGATAGAAATATGCACGGAGAAGGCCCTCACAAGTGTCAGGCTTAGGTAGAGTGAACACTCCTTTCTTTTGAAGGTAGTCCCGATCATCGTCTGTTAGGGTAGCCTGGTTATTCGATGGGATTAGACAGTGTCTTGGCAAAGAATGATCCGGTGAACAGATATCCAGAGTAGACACAGGCCCGGTTCGGTCTCCTAGTTAGACAATAAGCATAAGCATATATGATCAACGTGAGCGCCCTTGTTAGTTACCTGTGTAGAAAGGCACTTCGCCTACTCTTCGGGGTTGCCCTAAAGCGGCTGCAGCAATTTCATCACCGTTGCGCTCTTCATCTTCGATATCATGCGCTTCGCGAGCTGCGGTAGCTTCTACATTTAGGGGCACATGCTGCTGTGGCTGAACTTGAAACGCTGGGAGCTCCACTCTACGTGCTGTGGTCTGCGAAAGCGCCTGATCGGGACTCTGAGGGTTTGCAAGGAGAACCGGCCCACCGTGTTTCTCAGACCTATAACACACTATAATCAACATCTATCGACTGATACTTCCACATGAATTCCATCTTACTTCTGTCCTCGCCTTGTTGTGATTATACATGGGGTACGGTCCTGAGTGCAGCCGATACATGGCACCCCAGTGACATTCAAGCTACACCGCACCTTGCGTTGGCGACACGTTTGACACGCAATTGTCCTCCGACTGCGGCGGGTGGATACAGTAGAATTCGTAGGCGGCATCATGAACCCTAGAATAATATCATCTTGCTCCTTTTCTGACGCCGAGGTGTTAAGATAATGAGTGACATAGAACAATGAGAGTGGGGTAGTTCACCTCGGAGGTTGATAGCCCTAATTCTTTTACCCCGAGGAGTCCCGCTCGATGGGGAAATTCTACCGCGGTTAAACCCAACCGCCGAGGCTCTGGCTTAATTAAATCCTTCTTCGAAGGGATATTTGCTGCTCCATGCTAGTCTTCACATGATTATGTCCGCGTACGTGATGTTAATTGCATAATCAAATTATGTTGCATAGATTTGTCCTATAATGTTGTGTTAACGGCACGATGGTCAGATTAGGGCTTCATAGGTCCTCCCTAAGCTAGAAGTAGTTCATTTTTCCAAGGACACCTCTACTAAGTACGTATACGCAGTAGCTAACAAATGTAAATCGATTGAATTGGTAGGTTAATTGTAAACTATTACTACCGGTTTAAATCAAATATAATGATAGAATTATGTAACATAGACGTCTTTGTGCCATTCCTCTGTTACTATATACTTTTATCCTGATCATTTGAGAGGGCTTATTGCGGGAATATTAGTATTCTCAGGATCACTCTCTCGGAACATACTGCTGCTATGGTCATACCTTCCTGAGCTATGTATAGAGGTAAATAAGAACATTAAAGCGTGAGATGCTAGCCTCTAGGATGCCACCCGATAGAGAAGAGCCGGTCACCTTCGGTGGGCGGAAGTCTCTTGATCTCAGCCAATTTCCTAAAGTAAGCGACATCGCTTGGAAAATTCTCCTAAAAATGGCGCGAGAACCCTAGAAAGCAATTGAGAATGATGTATGGCACAAGTTATTTATTCTACAGTTATATGACTAGCTTAATTATGTTCTTTCTAACCCTATCTCGGAGCTGCGTCCAGTGATAATTTGCGGGGAAATGTTCGGAGGCCTCCCGTAGCGGGTGGAGATTCGTTATCTGAAGAGTAGTTTAATTCGCTGATAAGGCTGCTCATCTTAACATCCTATTTAAGTAGTAAGAAGAGGTCCCCACATCCCTTATCGAGGTGTAAAGTGGTCTGTTGACCTGCGATTTAAGATGTACATATTAGAAATGTCAAGATGTGTAAAAGATAGACCGGCCTGTATCTAAGTAGGTGTGAGAGAACGAAGTAATATGTGTGCACACGATTATTTGTATGCACATTCGGAAGGGTTCCGGATAGACGAGCCAGATGACCCTCGGCCTGCTTCCACGGTAGCTCTAGAGTATCTGGATATAAGAGGTGTGCTTTCTGTTGCACTGCTCACATTTACTAATCTAACATGAATTCTAGAGCGCTTTCTTCCATTTGACCTCGAACGTGCTATTTCTGCCGGCGTAATTACGTGTAGGGTCGCAATCGTAGGTCTATTCTTAGTCTAAAGTTCTCGTCACTATGTAGAAGATGTATTTGGTATTCTGGCAGAGATGGTTGAGAAGGGAGATCTAGTACCCGAGGCGTACAAGAACAAGCTGGAGCACCTGGAAGCGCTTTTGAGTGAATTCCAAACACCGGACTATGCACAGAGAGGCGACACAGGTACCCGGTCCCATCAGATGCCGGAGCTAGGAGAAGATGGTGGTAATGGAGAGGGACTGATACGGAAGAGTGAAGTTGTAGGTCTGGGTCCGATAGGTGGTGAGGGGTTAGGGCAAGTCGAGACATGGGATCTAATGAATGATATCACAGCCTCACAGCTGATGCCGGTGGCGAGTACCTTGGATGTGAATGAGATGCTCGACTGGGTGGGGTTTCCGGTTGATTTGCCCATGGATGAGAGCGACAACCCCCAAGTCTGTTTGTGATCAATAGTATTGGATAACCATGATTCAAGTAAAAGATGGCCTAGATACGTGCCCTAAGTTTCGTATTACCTCATTCAGAAAACCTTCCTCAGAGCTGCCAAGGTCTCCCATGCGGGGTTCAAGTCCTGACACCAAATTTCGCGTGATAAGAAGCAGTAAAGAGCTTCGTCGGAGATATCCTCCGTTCCTTTCCCCACATACATATGTAGATCGGATGCAGCCTCCGAGATAAGATAAAGATAGGATGTCCAATTAACCCAAGATACGTATTTACATCTACCCATTATCGCCTTCCAGGACAGTTATCAAAGATAAGAAACATAGAATGCCCGTCAACAAAGTAACCCCGAGATTATCCCCGTCCCTCCGACAGCACACTCGCCCAACTCCGACCTCCCAGTAATCGCGTTTCGAGGCGCGCTAAATTGACCATACATTCGAAAGTGCCGTCGCCTCCGTGTACACGAATGAATGGCCACGGGGAGAACACTGGAAAATCTCGCGCAAACAACTCGCCACTACGCCGCACTACTACGCCACCACCCACGAGGCGTACACTGTCCTGAAGGGCAGCGGGACATATCTCCTGGGCAAGTCCCCGCTGGACCCAGGCGCTGATGCGCAGCGTAACCCGGTCGGGGTCAAATTTGTTGCTCGTACGGGTGATATTTTTCTTTTCCTTTCCCGGTAAAACCTTAAAAATATCCATGGATTCCAAGAGGACTGGATCCAGACGGCATGAGCTGATATTACTGTCTATAGGCTGGGGTTACACACTTTGTAACGGACACGGAGGATGATTACGAAATCTTAGGCTATTACTTGCTAGTGAGTTGATTTAGAAGTGACTCTGCATTTAGCAATACTAAGGTTGGTGACGTAGAATGAACAGAATTCGCCCGAGGAGCCGTACGACATGAAATATGCATTAGACTCAGTGGAGGAGACAGACCAGATGCATTGCCTGTTCATGATCCTATCTATGGCAAGGAGGGGCCGTTGCTTAGTGTCTAGAAGAGATATGGCTAGATACGTATCGGATCATGATAAGCAGGTCTTATCCCTAATCTCTGGATATCAATTGATCTGGTTCCTACAACGTGGAACCCTTTCCTGTAACTTTGTCACCAAAATAAAGCCAAGATCTTGAAGTGAACAATGTATTTTTCCGCGGAAAAAGAATAAAAAAAAAGTAGTGAGTAGGGTATATCTCTGCATTTTCTCTCCTATCCGAGGATCATTCTATGGAGCGGGGTGATAGGACCGTATCAGACGGTGACGTCGTAGAGTCCGTGCGGCAACTGATCGGATGCATTCCGAGAGGAGATACCAGTAGCTCCCCTGGCTATCTAGACGCTGAAAATCTGGGGAAAGGTCCTGCTCGTCTTTTTTGCCGCATGTAGTAAGGGTGAACGTTGGCTAGCCGTGTGACTACGCCACGTAGATCCCTTGCTCCTGAGCTTCTCAGATTAAATCCCTTTGTACGGGCTTTCTTATATAGTGGATCTTATCCGCCATTGTACTGTTACAAGATAGTTAATGTACTCGTCCTTCTCACTTATTGAATCTCTGGAGGAAGAGGTACATTTCTGGATTTTTAGCCAACCCCAACCAGGCGAATCTATGCATACAACTGCCCTGACTTGGTTTGGAAATGCAAATCGTCTCCTTCTGTAGTTTATAAGATTGCACAGCATAAACCCATTCAATAACCATGTTGGACTCCAAGGATTCGGCTTCTATCGAGCCGCAGCTCAAGCATGAGACCGAAAAGACACGGGATATGAGCAATATGCTCCATCCGTCGACCAGCTTGAACGACGGCAGCATGATGGAAACACAAGACGCTCGGAATGGCCAATTCCATCGTTCCTTTTCTCCGCGCCAGGTCCATGTAAGAACCAGTGAATGTTGTATTATCGTTCCTTTTTTTTTTGGACTACTGACAAGGGACTGTGTAGATTATCTCCCTCGGCTCCAATATTGGTAGTGGTGTTTTTATCGCAACGGGTCAGGCTCTCGCCTCGGGGGGTCCAGGGAATATGGTTCTTGCCTACGGAATGGTCTGCAGCGCGGTCTGGGCAGTACTGCAGTCACTCTCAGAGATGACCATTGCGTTCCCCGTCTCAGGCAATTACATCGATTACGCCGATCGCTGGGTTGATCCTGCTTTGGCCTTCGGAGCGGGCTTCGCTGAGTGGCTTGGTTTGTACATTGAAGGGAAATATGACAGCTCATTATTCTGACGACCACAATAGCATGGAGCGCAATTGTCGCGTCAGAAGCGGGTTTCTTCAATGTACTGGTGCAATACTGGGCAGAGGGATCCTTGCCCCTTGGGGCTACAGGTAAGTATACCTGATGTGTCCGATCATGAACATGGATGATGCCTAACGTGCTGCTCAGTCACCATCTTCCTTGCAATCTGCCTGTTTGTCTTTCTACTTCCAAACAGGGCATTTGCCTGGTTCGAATACGTCACATCTCTCATCAAAATATTCCTCTTTCTTTTTATCATTGTCCTCTCCTTGGCTCTAGTTTTGGGCGCCGGACCGAACGGCAGCATACATCACGGTGAAACTTGGACAGACCGTCCCGCCTTTCTCAATGGCTTCACTGTAGGTTCAGAATGGTAATCCTCCCAAAAGAATGTCCCCCAGAGTTAATGAAAACAGGGGTTCGCAAACTGCGCTCTGCTGGCTACCTGGGCAGTTGGCGATCAAGTCTTCATTGGAATCATGGGTGGCGAGGCCGAAAGTCCGCGGTTTTCGATGGCGCACGCGACAAAGCTTGTGCCATTCCGGGTGAACTTCATCTACATGATCAGCATCGTTTTTATCACAGTTCTGGTTCCGTCGAACGATGACCGTCTGCTCAGTGGAAGTGGAGTCGCTGCGTCTCCCTTTGTCATCGCCGTTCAAGATGCGGGCATCCCGGTGGTTCCATCCATTTTAAATGCCGGAATGATATGCGGAGTTCTTGCAATTTCTGCAGAAGGTGTTTATCTCTCCTCAAGAGTGTTGAGAACGATGGCGCATCAACGTCTCATCCCGGAAGTCCTCGCCAAAGTTGATTCCCGGGGCCGGCCCAGATGGGCGTTGGTGATTACCAGTGTATTCTCCGTCATCCTTTCATATATCCAACTTGCATGTAAGAGTGGACGCATCCTAAACGGTACCTATTAAGATAGTTCTAATGATCGGACCATCCTACAGCTGGAGGTCTCACTGTGCTGAACTGGCTGATTGCTATCAGCAGCGCGTCTTTCTTCACAAACTGGGGCATTATTGCCTTCACCAATTGGCGCTTCCATTGCGCACTCAAGGCCCAAAAAGACCAACTATTCACCGAGACGTATGGGTGGAAGTCGACATTCTGGCCCACAGCTCCCGCGTGGCTCATGTTGGTTTCCCTTATGTTGCTAGCCTGTTGTGTTGGATGCGGTGTGAAGCCCGTGGTAGGTCATCAATCCATTCTCTTTCTTTCCATACCTTTTTCATTTTTGAAGCACAGAAACACAGCACTGTTACCCGGTTGACAAGACCTGTTACTCATAGGATGGCCTCACATTTACCGCGGGGAACTTTTTCCAGTACACACTCGGGCTCTGGGTCATCGCCGGCTGCACCCTCGCCTACAAAGTGATTTTCAGAACACCGTGGAGAGACCCGAAGACCGCGGACTGTATCACCGGTAGACGGACCTTGGGGGCGGAGGAAATCATGGTTCTCGACCGTTACTATGAGCAGCCCCGGTGGAGGCGGTTTCTTACGTACGTCCAGCTGTGGTAGTGCTGTCTGTACCATTACTACACGATGCGTTGTCCTTGATGTCCCATTAAATTGCTAAATCTACACCGCTGTAATTTGACAAATTGTTTGTATATCCATTAACCAACATGGGTAATCTATCAACCCACGTTGGTTGAGAAACCTTTCAACTGAGCATGAAGTGGGTATAAAAGAACGTCACTGGCTGTTGGTGGGGGAATTCGAGTCTTCCTAAAGATTCGGGCGAGGCTGAGTTGAAAACTTCGTACGTAGTTTAGTCTCCTAGATATTTCTACTTGCCAGTGTCATTCCCGAATCTCCACCCATCTCAGTAAATGCCAATCAATATTCCAGCTCCAGGCGCTTGGCCATCATCAAAGTTCACCAAACATGAACTAATGTACCCAACATGCCTGTCAAAACAATCCAAAAGTACGTCTTCATGCCTTTCCATCTTCCCTCCCATCGATTATCACCAAAGCTAAACCTATGTTTCCTTCCAGCGAAGGAGAGGTTCGCGAAGCCCTTCAGAGCGGAAAGCCAACCGTCGTTCATTACTGGGATTCCCATATGGGGTCAAAATCGCCCCTCGCTGAGTTTTTCGACACGGTGGCTGAAGACCGTGGGGATATAGACTTTTACATTGTGGATTCCGGCATTATCCCTCCCCCACATGGAGAGGATGATTTGCCCTTAACGGTGCTTTATATCAATGGCGAAGAGGTAGAGAGCGCTCCAATGGATCCAGACGCCACTATGGAACTTATCGATAAAGCTTAAGGGACTGGAAACGGGGATTACCATGCATGAGAAAGCGTGATTATGATGCTTATTCATCATTATTTATTATGAATATTGAAGTAGATCCTTGGTGTATCTCGGTTTACCTACTATTGCTTAGGCCGTGTGTCATAAGATGCAGATACTAGAGTTAAGTGATATTGTACGAATCTAAAATTGTATCATTGCACCAACAAATCGTAGCACTGTACGAACAACTAACCCTGCACACCCTTTCCAGGTCCAAGCCAGTTTACGGGGTTTCCACACACCCCCTGCAGATAGCGTATACCATCTCTGATGGCAGTCAAATTGGCACCGCTCCACCGGCCGAAGCAGAAGTGATCCCTCACATCATAATTTTTTACCTAATGGTGTTTCTTCGGAAGAGTTGGTTTGGGTTGTGTGCGCGAGTGTGAACCCGAGTTGATTTCGATAACCTGGGCGAGAATGTTTTGGATTGTACCATTTAAAGACACGGATGGGTCTCTGGGGGAAGTCTCGATGTCCCATTGGAGGTCCACAATATCGTAGCATGGGATTAGAGCTTCCAATCCGGTATATGATTCTCTTGGCACTCTATATGAGGGGGGAGATTTACACGGTATATAACAAGCGGACTGCCAGACCCCAGTCATAAGTAGATTGGTTCTCTCCTAAACTTGTCCAAGTTGTGAATGGTCGTCTTAGGGGAGTAAATCCCAAAGGGCCGACGTGGCGATACGAATCCTCCACCCACATAAGATCGGGATGAACCAAAATTATACCCTCTGGTCAGGAAATGCCCCTGGACCACCCATGCCCTAATTAACGAGAATTTAAATTGACTTTGAAAGCTAGCTAGGTTGAACAAAGGTGCTAAATAGCTTAAGATATGATTTTAAATCAGTACGGTAGCTGACAAATCTAGGGAAGCCTCGCTGGTAGCCTGTGGGTAAGGGCTTTGCATAAGCAGCCCCCACGCTGTATCCGATTTATAAGCTTTAGCTGGCGATTCATAAGCCAAGGTGAGAGGGATTTATACAAGAGCGTGCTCTAATGGCTTCTCTGTGAAGTCACAGATAGTATAAGATGAAGGGTATGGTTGTCTTTCAGCATGGATATTTTAGACTCAGAGGATCTCAAATTACCCGTTGAGAACGTATCACATCTAACGCAACGTCAAATATGTTTAAAACCTTAGCCATCTTTGGTGCGACTGGCCAACAAGGCGGTTCAGTGATTGACTACGTGTTGAACGACCCAGAGCTTTCACAGCAGTATAAGATCCGTGCTATAACGCGTAACGTCGATTCAGTGAAGGCTCAGCAGCTCAAGGAAAAAGTCGAGGTTGTCCAGGGGGACGTGCTCAACCAATCCTCCCTCAGGGAAGCTTTGACCGGCGCACACACCATCTTTGCCATGACAACACCTGTCCCTGGCCCGGATGCGCTGGAAACAGAGTACCAAAGTGCTAAGACAATTGCCGACATCGCCGTTGAGAAAGGAGCAGAGTACATTATTTTCAGCACGCTGCCATCAATTTTTGAGATCTCTGGCGGCAAGTACACCCAGGTCACCCCGTTTGAGGCCAAAGCGAAAGCCGAAAGGTATATACGAGGCCTTCCTATCAAGAGTGCCTTCTTCTCCCCCGGGTCATTTATGGAGAATTACCAGTTGCTACCCTTCCTGCGCCCACGACAGGCCCCGGATGGCACCTGGGTTATGATTCACCCAATGCCTCCCAAGGGGCTGCTCCCTTTGATTGACGCTGTCGGGGACACAGGCAAGTTTATTGGTGCGATACTTGCCGAGCCTGATAACTACGAAGGCAAGACGTTCTGTGCCGCTACAGCCCTGTACAGCCTAGACGAAATCGCTGCCGCCATGTCTAAAGCTACAGGCAAGACCATTGTCTGCAGGCAAGCCGCCCCAGATGAGTTCAAGAAGAGCTTACCGTTCCTCGCTCTTGCCTTCAATGTCTTCACAGAAGGGTTTCAAAGTATAGGTGAGTTCGGGTACTACGGTCCGAATTCTGATAGGTTGGTTGCTTGGGCTGCTCAGAATGCCCGAGGCAGACTCTCCACTTTTGAAGAGTACTTGCAGACGCATCCATTGCAGCTTGAATAAACGGGACTATGAGGGGCGTAATCACTGGCTGGCGCTGAGTTTTGAAATGTGGAATAAGGAGGGTGTGCCGTGATGGAGAAGTCATAGTAGAGGCAATTGCAGCCATGCGAGAATTGAGACGTTGGTTCTAGTCTTCTGATTTTTAAGCTACTTATAAAACATGCTGAACAGGACTAATTCTATGACTGAATCGGCAGTCTATATCCCCACACTATGTTTTCTGTAGGATTTGCAACCAGCTTTGCTCAACAGCATGGCTAACGCAAGATACCGTACTTTAATGCATTTAACACACCCACAAAGAAGTGGATGTATTTCATAGATGCGGATCCATTGGAGCCTCTCTTGCATTCGGATATTTAAGGTTCCTTTCTCTTTTTTTCCTTTTCTTTTATTTTCTTTTCAGTCGAAATTGCCATTCATGTCAGGAAACCGCTGTTCGACGAAGAGCCGTACGCACACTGATAGTGGGCAAGCCTACGAGAAAGCGAGGATGCAGTGCAGACAGGCCATTTACAGAGGGAACTCTCATTTAGTTCATTGCGTGAAAATGCCTTCGAGCAGCACCAATAGCAAAGCGTTCTCTTCAGAATGTAGAAAAAGAAACATGCTCAATGTAGAGAATGCGTTAACTAACTCCATGGCGTCCATCTCTCGATCTCTGCCGGCTCTTAAAAGGACTTAATACTACCACTTTACTCAGGTAACTAGCACTGGCGGTCATCGTCGTAGAGTGGGTAGGTGAAGCCCAGATTGGGGTTACGGTTGAATAAATGAAAGGGAGAATGAATATTGAATCAGTACTTCAAATAGGTGCAAAATTAATATGTGATGAAGGCAACTCCAAGTGAACATGGATACCTGTTCTTCACAGATACCCTGCCTTGGGCTTGGAATTTAATTTACCAGTTAATGCTGGGCGGACGTTATTCCATATACTGTCCCTAAATACAGTCTGCCATCGTTCGTTTCGTCGTCCTCCTTTTACCTAGCTCCAAAACCATTATAATCACTGTTAGGCCAATAAGCCCATATCAAAGAAAGCTCTACAAATATTGGTCTAGGGTGTGCTGGATTGAATGGAATCAAGCATAGTTTGCCGTTTTAGCCTTATGGAATAGTATACCCTAGGAAGCTAGGCAAACAGAGAGGTGGCTGACCAGTCAAGGAATATGCGAGAGGCGGTTGAACAGACTCAACGCGAAGAACGGGAAAATAGACGCAAACTCCGGGCCGCAAGGAAGCGTACCTTGGAAGGCGACGGTCAACCTGTTAAGACGGCACACCGATATACCACCACGAAGCTAGGACATGCCGCACATCATCCAGATTGGCGAATGGAAGGCGGTTTTATCGCACGTTCTCCTGTAATCTGTGAAGGAAAGATATTTGGTGTGGGGAATTCCAGGCCTGAATATCGAGGACGCACTTGGTTTAGCTACTTTCAACGAGTATAAGGAAGGGACTGCGGTACTGGATTACCACAGTATCACGCTGTCGCTGCGGCTAGAATTGCTCAATACTATGGGGGCTGAGGAGGTGAAAGCCGGAATGGACTGGGGGACACCGCTTATGGCCCTCAAAAAGGCATGCCGAAACAGACCAGCATTCTCATTTGACGGCATGTTGAGAATTGACTGTCAGGCTTGGGACGCGAACAGGGAATGGACACAGCCTGAACCTCAGCCTTTCCGTTGATTTGCTTAAAAGCCATCATGCCATAGCAAAAACTCTACATATAATTGCTGTAGGTGAGTACATAGACACCTTCACCTGGAAGATGGATAAGGTACAAGGGCGCCAACATGAACTCCAGCAATATGTGCATGTCAAACCTACATTTGAAATCGGGTAGACACGAGTGTGGTGAGAAGATGCTCGATATTCGATTCAACTCAGTAACAAGAACCCTCTGGGTACGCATAATGCCCACAGAGTTACATGATACTCACCAGAGATGTGTGGAGTTCACTCGTTCTGAATGGCGCACTAGAGGTATGCTGAGTTCGCAAGCGGGTAGAGTGATGGGCAAGAAAGTCCCAGATATGGCATGCATGGCAGCTGTCGGTAATTCAGGAATCGCTGGGAGATCAGGACTACTGATAATGTTCAACCCAAGGGTTAGACTTGGCAAGCCTTCGACACGCCTTCAGTACTCTGGTCTTTGGTACTATATACTTGATGCATGGTTGCTACCCTTGATCGCAATGTCAAACTGCTCAGTATAGGCCGATATGCGCTATGGGTTCTTGATAACGTAGGATGAAAAGATTTCGCCAGATTATTTCAAACGGCAACTGGGTCCTGCAGTATAATATGCCCATAGACGGCAGCACAGAGCACCAACAAAATGTTGATGTGAGAATATACAGTGGCCTTTGATGTTGGCTAGTAACGCGGTCTTCTACCGCCTTGCTTCCACTTTTGGTCCACTTTCCTTTCACCTTCCTTTCCTATCTCCAGGTCTTCCATCTCCCAACACCATCCATCTTCAAGTACTGTACCCAAGTCTTTCAGATAGGCTCCCTTCTTCAATACGCCGTGAACCGGTATCAAACTATTCTCCAAATTCCCCGAAGTACGTGGATGAACAGCCCGTCTGAGACGTTACATGAGTGAGACCTGTTCTTGATTCCAGTATCCTCGCACGGATTCTTTAGCTTTCAATCACTCGTCGGTAACAATACAGCACTGAACTATGTGCATAGGCCATTAGTAACTAGATCGGATTTATGCACTCCACCAATAAACTGAATACCCGTGATATGCCGGGTCGACATCACCTCTACATGATCGGCGCATACCCCAAAATAAAACAAATAGCCAGGGACGATTTCCGCCAAGGCTTCTCACTTATATGCCGCGTCGAAACTGGGTAGTCTTTGATGCCTTTGGCCTCCATGCTATTGACATATGAATCCAGCGTCCGCAGCAACGCATGCAGAGATGCATGGGCCTGAAACTGCGGACATATGGTCAGTCCAGACGAATTGCAGGAGACGATCGGGCCTGAACCTGCTGATACATGGTCGGAGCTAGCCACAGGGAGATTCCAGGAGACGAAGGGGCTGACACTGCGAGCATTGAATGAAGACTAGGCCTATTGGAAGCCATGGAGTCGATACTGCCCTGCTTGGTTTACATAATTCCTTGGCCGAGTTGATATTGTACCAGTTGCTACTGCAAAACTTCTACAGTGATTTCAGAGCGGTACTGCTAGGATCGGCAGAACAACTGCTGGTCTTGTACCCTCAATAGGCGAAGGCCTAATTGAGTTTATGATCTTCACGGAGAGTGGACCACCTGCCGGGAGTCTTGCCTTACCTAGATAGTATTTGAAGTGTCACTAGTATACAATAGGTAAAGTATTCATTGCCACTTAAGCTGGTCAGTCTTTGTAGTAAACCAGATATGACATTTCAGAGAGGATTATCCGTGATAAGAAGGTTTGGTTGAAACTCCAGAGGAAGCTCTGAGAGGGAAGAGTACTCTGCTAGGATGATATATCTAGACCCACAGACTTTGTGGCTGGCTGAGACGATCCGTTTGGACCGCTCCCAGAGCTAACGCGAGTATATACCTGGCCAATGGCGATCTAGGTGAGTTCAATAGTTTAAATCCTTCCTATGATCGGCGTACCTTGCATACTATTTATGCGCCAAGAACTAAGTGGGACAGAGAGCTGAAATTAGGACCTTCCTGGGCAATGTGTAAACAGAGGAAACCTATAAATTGGAGAAAAGTTCTAAGCACTTCAACGACCTCCAATTTCCTTAACCATCTTTAACAAGTCCGACAGCTTACATATATTACCTCGATTATCGATAACTATTTTGTCAATATGAAAACCTTCCTTGCCATCGGCACCCTAGCAGCTTTTTGTCAGTCTGCCTTGGGCCTTAACCCGGGGGCTTACACAATCGGATCGGCTGCTTTGCAGGACAGTCAAGTCCTGAGTGAAATCGACGATGCAAATGGCCCTCTGGTCTTCTCCACCAAGAACAACGACTCCAACCAAGTTTGGATCTTCAATCTAACCGGCACTTATCGCGAGTTCTTGATTCAGAGCCAAAACGGCGGCTATATCAACTGTGGTACTATCCCGGGTTCTCCTTGCTTTTCCGGAGATGAGCCGGAGATCTACATAGCGGAGCAGGTCACCGACCACGGCTATGAGCTTGTTGCAAAGCAGACCGGGTACTTCTTGCGCGCTGATGGTCAAAACCTGAAAATTGCTGAATACGACGGCGGCCAGCCTGACGAGGAATTTATCCTGACATCGATCCAATAGTGAGTAAAGACAAGATTTCATTGGAAGCTACTAAGCTAATAAAATTCCAGAGGGCTGCGCAGGCAGCAAACGAACTGGCTGGTCTAGGCGAAGTTATGGATAATTTAGGCAGATTTTAGCTCGCATAATGTCGTGAGATCACATCATCAATTTTCCATAAACTCCTCCTTTGGTAGCACCTCGTAGGGCCCATTCTCCTTAATATGGCCTTAAATAAACTTAGAATCATCTAGCGTAGCCGCCTGCCAGTAAAAGACTTTCGCTGTGCGGGTGGCATCTGGCTTCGCCCCAGCGCTGGTGTCGGGCACTTGGCGAATATGATAGCTAGGACTGAAATGGAACCCCATGTTCATTAAATCACGTTGCGAAGTAGGATAATTAGGCAATCTAAAGGGCGTGGCAGTGGGCCTGGTGAACCCTTGGAAGGCAGCATCAAATTTCCGCGGGTTAAGCATGACATCGGTGGCTCTATTTCCTGAACCTTTTAGGCTAGACATTACTGACTATGTAGCTAAGTCAGATCCGATTCTTAAATACTGAGTAGAGGTGGTCACTATTTCCATAGTGGAATTCACCTTATCAAAGGATGTCTCCGTCCTAATTGATAGAGGCTTCGTAATAATAGAGACCCGATTGTTTCGATTCCAACCAAACCTTTGAGTGGTTGAAGATATCAGATGCTCTACATTCTTTAATGGTCTTATGTAAATATATCGGACCCATAATTTCTCAATTTCCTTGCCTCTCATGCTCGATCCTGGCCACCCTCTGAGCGTCAGGGTTTGAGCGACTCTTGGGTATGGCTTGATGAGACGCCCCCGTGCGCAATTATTCAAGCTATGAATCTGCTTCACGAAGGCGGGGAGGTATCTAATTATAGATAAAGCTGGTTCAACTCTCGCTGAATCACCATATTTAGCTTCTTTATCGCTGAATCACACATCATGTGTCTGGGAGAAATCAGACCGGGCTCCCCCACCGAGCGCGGTGTTCGGTACTACTCCGCAAATGCTGCGATCTGACATTGAAACATTCCCAATCACGCGACGGTTGCATCTCCAGGTCCACCTCTCAGCCAAGGCAAGACTTTCCCACCCCAGTATTGCCGCATCTTATACTCTCCAAGACCCTGAGGCATGGACTCGATAGCGTCGGCAAGGGCATTTCCTTCTCCCTTTGCACGCACCTCGTCAAGCCTAGTCATGTAGCTGCGGACAGTGAAAATGATTGCTCGGGATTTAGGCAGAGCGGTCAAGGTCTGGTGCTCGACCCGAAGGTAGCATTCCGTAAGAGGGGGGTTGTACTTTTCATCATTAACGAGTTGGTCTGTTTCTGGGTAAAAGTTATTGCCGTCGGTACGGAAGAGATCTGCGCCGTCGACCTGGAGAGACCACTGGATGAACTGTTAACGAGGTATAGATTGTTAAAATGGCATAGAACCACTTACGTTCATACGTCCGATGAACTGACCCGGTTCCATGCGAGAAAAGTATCGGTCCACACTGGCACCCAACTTCTTATCATAGCCCGGAACAGGCTGGTGAATCTCCCTAACGGACTCGCCGACTCTGGCAGGGCTCAAGAAACCACCAGGAAAACAGGCAATGTATCCACGGAGACGGAACTGTCCATCCGGATCAGGACACATGAAGTAGAAATCCTCCTCGACATTGGCAGAAAGGTAGCGGAGCATATCAGCGGGGGTCAGACCAGCCGTGGTGAACGGGTAACTAGAGCCAGTGGCGAGGTTGTCGACAAAATTGCCGCGAATCTTGAACATGGTTGGGAAACGTTGCGGGAGGTACTTGATCATTATCTCCTCGTAGAGCTCTTCGATGGCGGGGTCTACGATCTTTCCTGTTCCGATGGTGAGCTCTGGCTTGCTATCAACGAGGCTGCGTCTCTCTTCGAGTCGCTTCAGATAACCAGAGTCAATTCGAATCCAGTTGGAGCGGGTTTGTTTTTGAATCCCTGGTTTCGTTAGCATTGGGTGGATGTGTAAGGTGTGGAGACATACCCATGGTAACATGGCCCTGTGTTCGGTATGGCTTGTACTCGATTGGAGGGGTTGTATTGAAGTCAAAGTCTTTCAGAGGCTCAACAGCATAAAAGGGATCCAGCTTCGAGCCAAAAACAGACGAGACAGCGCCATTATCCTATCCGAATCTGTTAGAGCAAGTCCAGTCATCTCAGGGGTTGACAACATACAGCAGACTTGCCATTGAACCTTTTTAGAAGGGCCTTAATGGCCACCAAGCCCAGAATGAGTAGCAGGAAAGATGAGACAATAGGATCCATGACGGAGAATGAAAGAGAATGAATGATCTGATGTTGGAATAGCAGATAGACAGCTGAACCTCGCCATTTATACCTCCATCTCGGTGTCCGTCTTTCACACCTACAGTTTATATCACTAAACTCCACATTGCACTCCTATCTGAACGGCCCCGTCTACAAGCTGACATGAAACATGAAAGATGATGATGGTGTTGGCCGACATCGGTAGGAAGCAAAATCAGCTACCTCCAACGACAGAGGGTATGCTAATAGGTCTGACATCTCGTTATGATATACAATGCTACAGCGATGGCTGATTGCTTCGCCTCAAAACAGGTAGATCTAGACTCGGAATTGCACGGGGGTAAGACGATCACTGTTATTTAGAAGGGATTACTCCGTCTCTGGTTGGATAAGATGGCTCGGGTGAGTGATCCTTAGGGACTGTGGATTCTGTGATTGGCAATAGTGGTAGTCAACTAGCAGAATAATCAAGGAATATACAGACTGATGAGGTTTAAATAATCAGGCATTACCAGTAGCGAGGATATAGACAGGCTAAGTAGATACTACAACTAAGATCTAGAAATACAGTAGATATCTTTATGAGACGAAAATTCACTTCGTATATAGTATCATTGATATATACACGCCTCGCAGAAAAGCAAACATAAGAGTACATATGCATTTCTTCAGACAGACCCCCGCAATTGGCAGCGCCTGCAGAGGTAGAAGCCCCTGTATACGCCACGTCAACGTCAGGGTCTCCAACCGCCATGGCAGTGCGTATATAGTAGATTCAAGGATAACAATCCCGCAGGGTCTATCCGGTATTCAACTTTGCAAGCAGTAGGTATGTCTCAGTCTGGCTAACCGATGCGACCTATCACCAATGCAGCCGATGATCGGTAGTCGGTCGACCGTCGGCAATAGGGATCGATATCCCTGCCCATATGGATACCGGCCCCCGAGCTATAATAGCGGGTTCTATAGCTTCAAGTTAGCTCTCTGAATCTGATGGATCTAGGATGAAAAGAACAACAAGACTCAGCGCCTGTTTAATCTACTCCTAGCTGCTGCTTTCCTAGCATAATTATCTTGGTGTGTTTACTTAGTTGCTTGCATCCCTTCGCCATGTAGCAGATGTTCTGTAGGTGGAATTTCCATGGGAACCCTAAATACTCAGCTTTTCCTATTATGGATTCTTGCATATACGCTTGAAAATGGTGAAGTTTATGGGATATACAGCCTTTAAATAAATTCATCATTTTCTAAAATTTAGACTTATTAATATTTGATTTTGGAAGATCTACTATAAAATCTCGTATTAAGTAGTCTTAGCTGAGTACGAGTAGAATGGGCCCGTGAGCCGCGATCGACAATGCCAACCACGATAAGATCGACATAATTTGGCCAATCGGGTGAGTTATATTTCTCTTCACGCATTTGCTTGTTTATAACGGTCAGCACTAGTCTAGCTTAAACCTGATCGTCGCAGGCCAGCCTCATACCAATGTAACCCTGTAGGGGCGAAAAGCAGATGCGTCCGAGATCGGGTCCCCAAGTTGATTAATGCATACGTAGCAGGGTAGGTCCACTCGGTTGCTTGTGCATGACCAGGTAGGACCGAGGTCGGGGCTGTACAGTGAAGAGAGATGCTGAGGTATGTAGAGTAATGAGAAATTGTTGGAGTGATGTCTGGGCTTTTCTCATTTATGTTGGTTGTTTAATAGTAGTTAGAGTCGCTTTTGTATATTGTCTTTATTGCATTCTTACTTACTCGCGAATACTCAGTTGGACGCTACAGACACCGTCAAAATGGTCAACGATTCTAAATCGAATAATGTAGACATTCAAACATCTATCCATAAACGATATTCAATCTAACGTATCCAGGACTCTTCCGCCCCATTTTCCAGCTACCAACATGAAGTCTACGTAGCCGGCACGAAAGGCATCAAACCCATCATGACAACGAACCCCAACCTCTGGGAAGCCGCGGCAAAGCAAGCGATGGAGCCCATGAACTTCGACTACGCCAAGGGAGGAGCTGGGGCTGGCGAGACGATCAGGAAAAACCGCGAAGCGTTTGATAAATGGAGCATCATTCCCCGGATGGTGAGGTCGAATACCAAGCGGTCTCTTAAAGTGAATGTTCTTGGTCAGGAATGGCCGGCTCCTGTGGCTATTGCGCCTGTTGGTGTGAATAAGATCTTTCATCCGTTAGTGTGCCACTTCATGAGGATTGGGTATATTCTTGCATTCTAACGTCTAGCAGCGATGGAGAGAAAGGAGTCGCCCACGCAGCCGGTAAAGTGGGCATCCCATACGTGCTCTCCACCTTCGCATCGGAAAGCCCTGAAGCCGTCGCTCAAGCCCAGGATGAAGCGGCAGGCCATGATAAAAGCATTCGCTGGCTCCAACTCTACTGGCCCCAATCCGTCGACCACGACGTGACACGGTCTATTCTGCGTCGCGCTAAAGCAGAACGCTACACAGCCCTCGTCATCACACTGGACATCTTCTCTATGAGTTGGCGTCCCATGGACCTCGATAATGCCTACCTTCCCCTCTACAAAGGCTATAGTACCGCTCTCGGGTTTACCGATCCGGTCTTCCGACGTAAATTCGTAGAAAGGTACGGCCACGAGGCAGATGAGGATATCCTCAAGGGCGCATTCGAGTGGGAGAATACTATCTTCCCCAATCTCGCACATACATGGTCGGAGCTCGAGTTCCTGCGTAAGGAGTGGGATGGCCATATACTTGTCAAGGGTATACAGACTGCAACTGATGCTGAAATGGCTGTGCAAGCCGGCGTGGACGGTATTATTGTCTCCAACCACGGTGGGAGACAGTATGATGGCGCATATGGTTCTCTGGACGCGTTGCGAGAGATTGCAGAGGCAGTGGGAGATCGCGTTGACGTTCTGTTCGACAGTGGGATCCGTACTGGTGCAGACGTGATGAAAGCTCTTGCACTGGGTGCTAAAGCTGTGTTTGTTGGTCGACCTGTTATTTATGGACTGGGGGCAAAGGGGAAAGAGGGTGCGTTGCATGTGCTTCGTTGTCTTTTGGCAGATTTGGAGATCAACCTTGCTATTACTGGGGTTCATAATGTGGTGGATTTGAAGCCGAGTGATTTGCGGGGACCTCACTTCAAGGCGTCTCTGTAGTTATCAGATAGGGGCTAAATGAGGGTTTAATTGGTACCAAATAGACTGAACATCTTCATACTATGCTACTAGCAATTTTAAATACACAATAAATTGCTATGTGTTTATCTTTCCCAGATGAATCTTGATACTATGATAAGTGTCTATGTCATGATATCTACTATAACTGACAGATATATACTATTCCACCATGAAAGAATTGAAGGATAAAAACCCTTAATATTCTTGATTTTACGGTATAACTCCATGAATACAATCCTAGACCCCGTAAGTCACTCCCATTACTCCAATCCTCCACAAGACCTATCACCTCCCCTTAGCAGCCTGACTAAAAGCACTATTCCGCCTAAGATGATCCCCAAAACGAATAAACGCAAAGGGGATTATAATCATCACCAAACTCGCAAATCCCAGCAAACTAGTCGCCCAATGCGTTCCCAGCCTCGCGAACATTGGCGACGTGGCAAGCGGCAACAAGGCACCAGATACACTTCTCGTACAGCTCGCAGCGCCCAATGCACTCGCCGCATAGGTCCCATACGCGTCAGCGAGATAGTTGATCAGCGCCATGAATATGAGCAGGAAGCCGATGCCGAAGGGGATGCCAGAGAGCATGGGAACGATCCAGTGGATGGATGGCTGGGCGGACCAGGCGAGCCAGAAGAGGGAGATGGTGTATAGGGGTCCGCCGAGGCAGGCTAGGGGGAGACGGCGGTATTCTTCGATCTTCACCCAGGGTTTGGCTTGGGATTGGGCGCGTTGGTAGACGGAGTCGTAGGCGAGGTAGACGAGGAAGGATAGGAGAGCGCCGATTCCGACTGTGGCTTTGTTAGTAGTTGTGGATGTTTTGATTGGTAGGGCAAGACGTACTGGGGATAAATGCTAGACCGCATTGTCCGCTACTGAAACCGTATATTCCTGTTCATATTAGGATCAAGATTGGCCCAGTCGGGAGTATGCATACCTTGGAATATGATAGGGTAAGCCTCGAAGAAGAGGTAAAAGATAGAGTATGTTAAGGAAAGATAGATACAGGAGAATAGAACAATTGACTCGGAATAGATCATTCGGATAGGGCGTGTCAACACTCGCGTGACGAGGTTTCGTAGACCGGGAGTAGCCAGGTTCGCATCATCCGATGTGATATTATTAATCTTATTATATTTTCGCAGCAACACAGGCCGAAAGGTTTCTATTCAGTGTGTTAGCAACGACAAGTAAGTGTAAATGAATCACTTACCAGGGAGAAATATCAGCGCAGGCCATGAAGCACCAGCAATGATCAACGCGATCCAAAACGTCCATCTCCAACTGACATTAGAGATATAACCAGAGATTAGCGGTCCCATGGTAGGGCCGAGTGTTGTAGCCTAGGTAAGTTAGTGTCTCGACTCACAAAGATGGTTGAATAACTTACAGCCATATACCCAGCCATCGATCTGCCCCTTGTCTTAGGATCAGAAAAAATATCCGCATACAACCCTCCAACGACAGCAGTTGGCGAGGATGCAAAGATACCAGCAAACAGTCTAAAAATGACAATGGCCGCAAAGTTGGGCGCAACAGCACAGGCAAGACTGAAGATTGTATATCCTAGGAATGTCCATATCATCACCGGACGCCTGCCATATGTCTCTGACAAGGGAGCGAAAAGAATAGGCCCGAGAATATATCCGATCAAGTAGGTCGTTATCGGTAGTACGAGCTGTTGCTGGTTTGTTATGTTGAAGTCGGCCGCGATGAAATCGATGGCACCGCTGGGAAGGGCGGATCCGAGAGTACTATTCAGGACTATCACCAAGCCAGTGACGAAGATGAATAGCTTTTTTTTCTATCAACTCGGCGTGTTAGCTTTTTTAGCAGCGAAGGGGATCATGTTTTACTCTCGTCCAGCTGTATGGATCGGGACTGGGTTCCACGATCATACTGGCAGAATGGTCAGAGATGCCTTTCTGTTCGTCAGCGCTATGTTGAAGCATTTTGGAGTCCAATATATTGCTTCATATCCATAGCACATGCACATAGATTAGAAATACTAGCAATAATACTCGCCAGCCCGATATCGGTGCTTAAAAAGGGTAGAATGCATCAATGCTTGATTGATTGCGACTCGCATTCCGGGTCCACCGAACTGCTGATCCTTTGGTTAGGGTTGCACTGGTAAGCGGCCCGCCACGGAATCTTTCCCAGCGATCCACCCCCAGAATCCCTGTCGACCCTGCCATCCAAGGCTCCGATGTCGGGGCTGCATAATTCCTTATCGCGTCTGGTATGGCCTTATAACCCCGCTGGAGCCCTAATCCAGGTATATTCTGTAAAACTACAAAAAAAAAAAAGGCAGACAACAACATGACACAACAGCAAGAGCAGAAAGACATCTGGTCAGCCGACCTTTACGGCGAAAAGGTGGCCCCATTCGTTGCAACTTCAACTGAAAAGGTTCTCGAATGGTTAAACCCCAAGCCCACTGGTAAGGCTTTGTATTACAATCACTAGGGTAAGCTAACAAGATAGATGAAATCCTCGACATCGGCTGCGGGGAAGGTCCTTTAACTGCCCGCATAGCTCCCCATGTCAAACGGATCGTGGGAGTCGACGGCTCACCCAACATGATCGAGCACTTCAAGAATACCTACCCACACATTGAGTCGCGCGTTGTCGATTGCCGACTGCTGGATAAAGAGTCCGACCTCACAACCGGAGGGTTCGACAAGGTGTTTTCGAACGCTGCCTTGCATTGGATTCTGAGAGACCCTGAAACCAGGTCCAACACAATCAAGGGCTGCTTCGAGGCGCTTAAGCCGGGTGGTCTTCTGGTCAATGAGTCTGGTGCCCTAGGAAATGTGGCCGAGGTGCATTCCGCAATCATCAGCGGTCTAGTCACTCAAGGTATTCCTGTTGAACAAGCACGTGAGGCATCGCCTTGGTGGTTCCCATCGCAACAGGCTATGAAGAACCTTGTTGAAGGAGCGGGCTTCAACTGGATCAAGGGCGAGGTCCAACTCAGACAGACAACGTTGACTGAGCATGAAAAGGGTGGTGTTGAAGGATGGTATGTTTTGGCAATAATGGAATTATCGATTGGATAACTAATGGCATACAGGATTCGTCTGTTTGGTGAGCCCTTTCTTGAACTCCTCTCGACGGCCGAGGCACGCGACGCGGCTGTCAAACACGCTGTTGACGTTCTCGAGGCTGTTGGAAGACAGCAGCATGATGGTTCTTTTACTGTCAATTACATTCGCCTTCGCTTCGTTGCTCAGAAGCCTGAGTAGGTTTCGGGAATACCAGTATTCCAATATATGGCATTTCCTGTTTCATAATCATGATATTTATTTATATCCTCTCATAGCGTAAGGCCCGGCTTTTCCGGTGGCGAAATTGCAAATCTCAAGCAAGGATATTACTATATTAGTACTCCACAACCAGGGATCCTGACCTTAATCATACCATTTCTCCATGCCTGTGCTCAGGGTCCCTTCGCTCCCCACTCACTAAGCGTTATGTAAGTACCTGGCAAGGTGCGTACCTCTGATCAGTGTATTTGAAGCATGTGCTGCAATTTACTAGGTAAAATATGCGGTTAATTCATATGAGCCTTGATAATCATGAGTTGGTACACTAGGATTTTGTTAGGAGAAATAGCTCCGAGAGTGAGGCAGAGGCCTTGGTCGGGAAGGAGAACCGAAATCGCTGATAGCAGACACTCAGGCAGACTCAGTTCTTCCAGCTTAAGGAATGAAAGCTTCATCCGGATGCTTTATCTCCACGAGTAGCTTCCCAGTATTCATGCCATGGAACATATCCAGTAGAGGCTGCCCAGCACTCCTCAAGCCGCCTTTGACTATAGTAACCTCTCGCTTGATTGCTCCCTCTGCAAGCAATTGAGCAAGCTTATTCCGTGCATGCTCGAACTTTGATTGATAATCAAAGACAACAAATCCTTCCATTCTGAGCACAAGATGCGTTAGCGAGGATACCATGTTTTTATATATGCCTACTTACCTGATCCGATGGGTGACAATGTTCATCAAGTTCCTTGGACCTTGGGGCTTGGAAGTGTTATACTGGCTGATGCCACCACACATAACAAATCTGGCGAACTTGTTCGCGCGGGCCAAGGCTGCGTCAAGAATATCTCCTCCAACTGGGAACACAGTATCAGTATCAGCATCGGTACCCCCTGGAGCCGAAGTCCCTTGTGTGACAAGATCAACTCACCGTTATCCCAAAAGACATCGATATCATCCGGTGTTGCTTCTGCAAGCTTTCTTTCAAATTCAGAGTTCTTATAGTTGAGTGCATCATCAAACCCCAAATCCTTCTTCAACCAGGTACACTTCTCATCACTCCCCGCAATTCCGACAACTCTCTTAGCACCCATAATCTTCGCGATCTGGCCAGCCACACTCCCCGTAGCACCAGCAGCACCGCTAATAACAACCGTCTCCCCAGCCTTCGGACGACTAATCTTTTGCATCCCTAAATACGCCGAGTAAATCCGTGACCTTGATATTAGGATGCAGCGGTGCCGCTAGCTTCTCAAAATAGTCTTCATTTGCTATGGCCACCTCACACCAGCCTGTCATGGCGGTGACTATATCTCCCGGCTGTGCTTGGGTGGACGTGGATGCCAGAACGCGGGCAATGACGAAGCCGGGCATGGTTTCTCCGAGTTTTAGAGTTGGGAGGTAGGAGTCTGCTTCATTGAGCCAGCCGCGCATGCCCGGGTCGAGGGATAGGTATAATGCTTCGATGAGTATTTGACCTTCGTTCAGGTCGGCTGTGTTGGGTGCGGGAGTGGTTTCTTGCTTGAATGTGCGGCCAGGTACGATGTCGTCCGATGGACGTTCGGCGAGCTTCAAGGACAGAGATTGACGAGTCATGATGAATCAAATAAGACGTTGGAAAAGTTGGTGCTCTAGTCTGATTTGCTTGACCTCACCTTTCCCCAATAACTATCCCGGGACTTGCAGGATTTATATAGCAAGTTTGCTATGTGAGATATATTAGTCAATGACCTGTAAGTTTAACTCGGAGGTTCCCGGGAGTCATATCGTTAGGACTGTGTATACCTCGTTAGTAATTATTAATAATACAATACGAGTTAAGGCTCCCAAGTTGACGTACTGTTGTAGAGTGCCTAAAGATCGTGAGTGGAAATGTCCGAACCACTGTGGCAAGAGTAGATCCTCTTATATTTTGTATCCAGCTGGCAAAAGCCGTAGAAGGAAACGATATACAAACGCACCCACAGGGATGAACACGATCGTTTCGCACTCTGCCACAGTCGAAACCCTCCCCTCTCGACCCTCTGCCAAATCTCCGCTTATAGGCAACAAGGCTAGAGAGGATCTGGAGATAAGTCCCCTGCCACCAACCATATGAATCAGCTTGATCCATGAAGCAAGGAACTCGCTAAATCGGCTTGTATACCGTTGCTATGTGGATAATACTGTTAGTCACAAGGCTCCCGCTTACTTATACCACGGCTCGTGGAGTAGGGCTACAGCTCTAGGTTCTTAATATATTCTAAATTTATGTATTAAACATGATATGTAAACCGTTCAGCCAAAAATATTGACCTTTTGTATAGTATGTACAAAAATAATAGAAAGAGGTACAGGGTACAGAGCAGGTGAGCAGGACGCGAATACAGTGCTACGCACTTTGGACGACAGGGGTACGCAGAAACACCAAAAGCGGGTGAATGAGGGGGCGTAGATCCTAAGAGTACTAGGTTATAGGGTGTATATTATAGCGCATATCAAGAGAATACGGGTGCGATACGGATGTACGAATCCCAAGTACTAGGTTCTAGTTCATAAGGATCAAACATGATATGATACAACACACAGGCAAAAGCCGTACCTTCATCTGTATTTTCTGCTCATCCCACTAAAGAAAAGCCTACCCGTGATTATGGGCTCGTTCCACATCTAGCTTGAATTCCACCTCGGTAAGAATCATACTCTCCGGGACATGAATCCTCTCTTGGCTAGACGTTGGTAATCTAGAGCTTCGGTCCCCATCATACAAAATACTTGCCCCAATGCTATGCGTTGGGCGTCGTAATCGCTTCTGGTGGGAATTCTCGTTGGCGTTTCTACTCACCAAGAGCATCGGGCTCTCCCTTGATGAGTAGCCAATAAGACGGGGGAGGTAACGAGACGCGATTGCTTTGAATGATGGAATCGAAGAAGCCACAATCGCCACGTTCATCTCAATGGAAGTCCAATAGAAAGTCCCAGAAACAGACACTATATCTGGGGGAAACTGCATCAAATTGGTGCTATAGACAAGTCGGACAATTGATGCGACGCAGGCACTGATGTTAAAGTATCAGAAAGAGTAGCTCGGTAAAGGGAAGATCAGTACCCACATCAATCCCAGGGCGAGTATGAATATCACATAGGCCTTTTGCTTCATCGGCATCTGAAGTTTGAGCAAGACGGGAATCGGGAGGGCAAATGTCAATACATCTGTTAGGATATTAAGTGCGCCAGTCGCAAGTGTGAACGCCTTAATACCCTTTGCACATGAGAGCAAGTAGACAGGATTGTGGCTCCAATTCGAAGGTGGGCAATGGAATGCTGCGGCTAGCACAAAAGCAATAGTTTGAGCCACCACTAGCCCTATCATGAAGTAGCATGCTCGTGTCAAGGATACATGGCCTAGGCGAATATAGAACCAACAGAGAGATATTTTGGTGAAGCCTTGTGAGGCCGGGTAGATTAATGAGCTTAGCCACATACCCTAGCAGCGTGTCAGTTGGCGGGAATCTAGAGCGAAGGTGGACGGAATCACCTTGAAAAAGGACACAAGCTCTTCTAGATTTGCCGTGAGGAAGTCTCCCTTGAACCCATGGTGTACCGCTGATGCTTGTCAGCTTGTCTCCACGTACACGATTCGAGTGGGCATACAAATCACAGTGCATACGGTATAGGCCCATGATAAAATCTGTTTGATGTACCGGCGTGTCAACAACAAAAAATAATAAATACTTGTCTCGAGAACGATCTTACAGCAGCGATAATGATTAAATCTTATGAATATTGCGTGTCAGTGCGATAGAAAGAGCTCCAGGAAATGAACCACGTACAATCGTCTAGGCCGACGGCCTTAATGATATAATACCGAGCAAATAATCGCAGGCAGAGAGCTATAAACGAAAGAGCGGAGAATATGATCGTGATGGTGGCTACAAGGACCACCGGCGATCCCATGCTGTCGTTCTGTAATCTTGAATTACTTAGGCCTCTTTAGAGGTCATCTAAGAAGGAAATTGTGGTCACGAGAAATTCGTCTTTCAAGTCTATCTTTTCCCATGAATGTTTTAAGTACAAACAAAGGCCTTGTCTCAAGTTGAGGCAGCATCTCGGGAGATAAACAAGCCCTGCTGTCTCCAGAATCACCACCCCTTTTTATTTTCTCTAGAATATGCAACTAGTGTACAGGTAGAAACTTAGATCAAATACGTGGCAAGCAGTTTCGTATTCTGATACGAAGAATGAGCAGCATCTTGTGTTCAGCACCTTTGGGGTCCAGCGCCATGCTTGTTAGGATCGTCTATGTCAAAGCATTGGGCTATGGCCATAGGCCAGATACAGACACGAGTCACAGGACTTTGATTAAGGATTTGACCAAACAAGGATTTATTGGCCTATGGTCAAAGTTTGGCGGCTCTAGATTCGTCTTTTACGCAGATGCCCCGTTCCGGTCCATAAACGGTAGGGTAATATGCCGAACTTGCAGGGCTTACCAATGCCGATGCATTGGGCAAAAGCTATGGTCAGACCAGTGGGACAGATAGAGCTACTACTGAGTGGTTTCAGAGCTTAATAACCATAATTCTGCCGAGACGGGCAAGTCACTACGAGATGGTAAATCCACGCTAATGTCAGAAGGTACACGTAGTGCATCCATCGGTGAACCTTGCAGGCGTCTTGGCGCGGTGATGGTCGAACAGCATAGATAACTGTATCCTCCTACCAAGGCTAGCGTCAGGGGTTTCAAGAGAATTGACTCTGGTGTCAGGGCTGAACCAGACGTTGCGGATATTGACAGAAAACAGGACTATCTGAAACAGCTTACGTTTCTCACGAGTGCTGTGTACAAGGACATTCACATCACCTGAGATATGCACCTCGTTGATTCGATTTCCTTACGTGGGAGGTACACGATATCTGCCAGTCATGAGAGCAGCGCGGAGGCGAAGCTTTCGGTTAATGAGGTGGCCAATGTAAGTGATTGACATGACTTAATCATAAGTCTAGTCGGCAGTGCCATTGGGGCAAAATGCGTCAAAGGAGAAATTGCAGCTTGGTGAGCACAAGCGGGACTTTGCAGGATCTACCAGGGAATAAAATCGCTCTTCTCTATGCTGGCTAGTGGCTCATACGCTCGCTCCGCGTACTCTGGTAGCAGCGCCTTCAAGAAGGCTGGACTCAAACAGCGCGCGACTAATGGTTGGATGGATGGCTGGTTTCCATCCAAGGAGCGACGTCAGGTCCATGCTCCAGAGAAGCTGGGTGTCACTATCGCCTGCTAGTCTATACACGCAGAGATTTCGTTTTCACCGATGGCAGTACCATGGAGTCCTGTTCAAAATCCTGTTTCGGGCGATCAACCCAACATCCAGACTCATTCGACCCTCGCGTAGACTAGAACCGATGGCGGTGAGGTGGCTGCAGACTTTGGGAGTATCGCAGATGAATCTCACGATCGCGATCGATCGAGATTAAGTTGCGAGATCGACCTTCCAAATCGCGGTGATACTGCGTCATCACAATGTCAAAATGATATCTCACACAAGATGAACTCGACCAGACGTCACCCATGGTCATTATGACATAAGATCACATTGCAATCATTGATCTGACCAGCACAATTGTTGTACGACAGCTGATATATAAAAAGGGGGACATTCTATCGTCCTCCTAACCCTTTGGAATATCAACCCAGTCCAGAAAGAACCCAAGAACAAATACAACCACTGTAGAACCCGTTGAAAAGCGATCGCTGAACCGAACAACATGGCCGATAAGTACAAGCCTTCCGGTAGATTTCCCCTCGGTATCCATGCCGCATCAGAGCTGATTTACTTTTAAGAACACGGCGGTCTCCGCGAAGACGGACAGCCTGACAAGCGCACGCAACAAACCGAGTTTGCGTATGGCAAAGTTGACCCGACTGAGGCCGGCCAGGAAGGAGGCTCCGTAGGTGGCACGACTTCTCAGGGCAAGGGAAGCGGTGGCAGTGCCCAAGGAGAATTTGCTCACGGGAAGGTTAACCCGCGTGAGGCGGGTAGCAAGGGGGGACATACTCTAGGAGATGATTGAAATCATTCATTGCACATGTATGAACAAAAATTATGAATTAACTTGTACAAGACTCGGAAGGAGACATCGCCTGGGCATATCCATAACAATAACGGGTTATCTACGTAGAAAGAGCTACTATCATGTGGAGTCCGACTGAGATAATCCCAAGTGTTATATGTACTCCGTATAGTATCTTTTATAAATACTCATCAACGCTGATGGGCCGGGGTGAGTGAGTCTTATATGACTATTACTATTTTAGGAAATTTCGACGTCCGTCCACATTAGTCAGCAATCTCCCGTTCTCTATCACGTGAGACTAGGACTCCCTGGCAAGGAACTGTTACGATACCGTACCAACCCGATGATGATTAATTCCCGTCGTCATTAGATATCAAAAATCCGGAGAAAGCATCCAAACCTTTTGTTGCGCCGCCTCAACTCCAAACATCATACACCATATTCTAGTCGAATCCACCCACACCTTTCCTCTCGCCTGGCCTCCGGACCCAAAAACACCCTCGCCACGATTAACTAACTCCCCGCCCACTTGATGTACTCCCGCACCTCCACCATCTTGAGCAGAAGCTGCCGGTACTTCTTCCGCGCCCCCGTTCACCAAAGACAGACCTTTTCGATCTCCGCGCGCTCCTTCGCCGCCGTAAACGCAGCTATGGCCGACGCTACCGCGGGTGTGACCGCCGACGGACTGAAGAGCAAGCTGATCGATCAGTTGCAGGCACAGCATGTTGAGATTGAGGACCTTTCGGGTATGAACATGAATATGATTCCTTGGCCCACCGGTTGCGCTTCGGCATATGCATCATCTGCGAACGATCCGATTTGAGGAACCAGCTATACTAACATAACTTTCTCTCGTTCAATAGGCGGCTGTGGCCAGGCATTCCAGGCGGTGATTGTATCCCCGCAATTCGAGAAGAAGACCATGCTCGCTCGTCACCGTTTGGTGAACTCGGTCCTCAAGGAGGAGATCGCGGCTATCCATGCGTGGACGCCTAAGTGTTATACCCCTGAGCAGTGGCAGGCTTTGCAGCAGTAGATTTATGATGGATTTCCTGTTTATATTACGGCCCGGAAAAAAAAGAGAGAGGGAAGAAGATCTTGATATATCCTGGGTATTTCGACGCACTGGAAGCATATAGGCAGGCGTTGGAGTTTTTATTAATGTACATTTGTCGTTGCTATCCAGCTGTGGGACTATAGTATACTTGTCTTGGGCTATGGTTGGTGGAAATCAAAGATAAGACTATGAGTATATTATGTGGTAGATGGAGGCATTTCGTTTTAATATTTGCATAGTACATTAGATACTGGTTCTATGGATGACGGTTACTGTTTAAGCAAGGACCTTCTCGGCGGCGGAGACTAGGGAGAAATTAGTACATTGTAAAAATTAGCAAGGGGGTAGAAGCGTACTGTCGAGTCCAGTGTTGTCGGGCTCCACGAAAGCCTCCTTGACCTTGCCGTTCTCGACCAGCAGGGCGTAGCGCTTGCTGCGGTGGTTTCCGAAGATGGAGGAGCTATCGAAGGTGACATCGAGCGCCTCGGAGAACTTGCCGGTAGGGTCGCCCAGGAAGCGGATCTTGCGGGTTTCATTAGCATGCAACTGGATGAGCCAATTGGTCATATAAAGTCAATACTTACACCGCTCTTGCCGGAGGGGTCGAGAGAGGCGGCCCACGCCTTCATGCTGTTCGTATGATTAGCCAATTGAGCTGCTCGCGGAAGACATCTAAATCCGTCATCCACTTACACGAAAGGATCATTGACCGAGACAACGAAGACCTGGCCGGCTTCCTTGAGCTTGGGGTGGTTGATATAACCAGGGACGTGGGAGCTGGAGCAAGCAGGGCCTGTCACGAATTATGTGAGAATTGCACTTCAGCACAAAGATGAAGTGGGGTGCATACTGAAGGCTGCGGGAACACCGACAATGACACCCTTGCCCTTGAGTTCATTGGCGAGATTGACCTTGTTACCGGGAGAGTCCTCAACCAGGACATCAAGATTGGGGATGGAGTCTCCCTTTTGGACGAAAGCTGGAGCAGTGTTGTGGAACAGGGCCCGCTGGGAGAAGGCGCGGGGAACGCCAGCGGTGAGACGGCGAGCGGCGAACATGATGGCAGGGATTGAAAGATGGAATTGAATGTTTAGCTTCAGCTGTGAAAGCACAATGTTGTTGAAACGAGACGTCTTCAACCGGAATAGTTGTTATTTTGGTTGCTGATGCAGGTTGGACGAGGTCCAACATCGCCCGTCATCGGCAAGGTACCCGTGCATCCTGATTGGTCGGTGAGGGATGTTGTGAGTATTACTCAGCATTGCGTCATAGCACGTTTCCAGGCAGCTTTGCCGAGATTTCTGAGGCAGCACATCGATGGATGTTAAGGCTCATAATTTCACATTGTGATGAGCGAGATCCGTAGAGAACTTGAGAATATTCGTCGTCATCTTCAGTGAGGATTGAGAGATACTATATTATGTGGAATCAGATCCAGTATGTGCGTAACATAGTAAATATTCCTGATACCTGATTCAATTAGAAAGATAAGGAGGTTCTTATTTTAGCTTGTTGGACAGCGTATATAGTCAGGCGCCCATAGCGATTACTAGTCATACCGATAGTTACATGAATCCAATAAGGACTGACTCATTGGTCACTGATACGTCAAATTTGAAAACGCCTTGTATATGGATTACTTCGTTTCTCATTTGTCATCGCAACAGTAAGTTGAGCTCGATTGGAGGAAACTTTCTTTGTTTGTGTAAGTTCATGAACCACCAGGGCTGGCTTATATGTTCTGTTCAGGGTCATGTTGGGATCAGGGGTTCAAGGCACGACCTTGGCGCCATATGAAGAGGCTCAAGGAAGGTGCTGTGAAAAATGCCAGCACTTCCCCACCTATAGCATGCATATTATTAATGTGGATATGGCGAGAGATCTGGATAGATGCTTCGATGCTCCGTACTGTTGTTTGATCAAAAAACAGTATCCTGGTCGGATTCTTGGTAATTGTGATGCTTCTAAGGTACCACGGAAGGCCTTGTCTCAATAACGCTAAGTCAATGGTGCGCCCAGGGTAAACAGTAGCCTCACTTCCAATTTCTTGAGTGCTGGATAGGGAGGCTGATCAACCTGTTTCAGCAGTTTAGAGCTTTATGGTTAAGAATCTGACCTCATCTGGGAGATTGCAAGCCGCCCCTTAAAAGATGTAGGCGGCGATAATTTATTTAGTTCCTTCAACGCTGCCGGGGACTTTCAAGACAGTTATCTCGTACTTATACAATGCCAAGATGGCTAAGTGCATGTCAGCCTATGAGGACAGCCAAGTTTTCGGCGCGTTAAGCTTGTCTCAGAGTTTTATCCGAATGGGAGATTAGCTGACCCACAACTATTGAACCATGGAGAAAAAAAAAAAATCTCTGTTTGACTGCCGACTTAGCTTCATTTTCCTAGTTTGGAAAGTGTTCCTGAATCCTGAGTCTTCAAAAGTAGAAAAGGGGACAAGGCTGAAACTGTCAATCCAGTTGTGATTCTTTGATCGTGGGTTGTCTCCAGAAGATAGGGCAAATCGCCCAATCGGGATGCCTATGTTCATATCCACTAATCCACTTACACTCCGGATCACTCGGTTAGTACGGCCAACATAATTGATCAGGGGAAGGCTACAATTGGATCACTGGCTCGGAATGAGACCCTGTTCGAACTAGCACGGACTAATCCCTGCTATAATGTCTCGCTTGCTAAGACTTTGGCGCCGGTGATCCGGCTTCTGCCTGACTGGTTCGCTGCCTTGCCATGCATTGCTTAGCCCTGGACCACTGGTGTTCTATATCGCAGGTGACTGGCTGTCCTACTCCAACGGTCAATATTGCATATACGCTATTCACCCTAGGTGGGAGCTATGGAAATTTGCATCTCGCCCAAATACTACCTCTCGGGGTTTCCGCCCCATCCGGTGTCATAAGTGGAATACCAAGTGGAATAAGTGGAGGCAACAATTTCAACTTATAAGCCTTGCCCACCACCCCGCCCTTCTCCTCATCCATCAGAGAAGTTGTGTACAAAGCCCAGAGAAAGTGTGGGCTTTGTTGATTTCATGATGTTGGGCCCATCATTCCTACCAGTTGCTTTAACTGCCTTGTCATGTGTGGATGCCCTCTCGCTACACAGACGCGATACTCCGGCCACCATCGAGCTGCCTATTGAGCGTAGGCAACATGCCGGGGGACTGAAGAAAAGAGATTCGACGCTGAACTTGCCACTTATCAACTACGTATGTTCCCGATCCAGGTCCATGTTTCTCAGCACCGATGAAATATGACTAATACAGTTTGATAGTATGACAGTTTTTATATCCTAAACCTGACGCTGGGAACGCCAGCGCAGCAATTTGCGGTCGCTTTGGATACTGGCAGCAGTGACCTCTGGGTAAATGTCGCCAACTCGTCCTATTGTTCATCCCGGACGGATCCGTGCAAACCTTTTGGCCTGTACGACCCCGACGCATCCTCGACATACAAGAGCCTGGATGTTGATTTCAATGCAACCTACGGCGATGGCACAAACGCCTACGGTTACTATGCCACTGATAAACTCGGTCTGGGTGATGTGCACGTTGATGATATGCAATTTGGCGTTGCCGAATCTACTACGATCACACGTAGGTTCTCCGTTAGTATTTGTTATATCCCTCGCTAACCGTGTTTTCACTCATCAGAGGGTATCGTCGGTGTATCTTATGACACTCTCACCGACGAAGCTACATCTGAAGGCAAAACATACGCCAATCTCCCCCAAGCTCTGGTCAATAGTGGGGCCATTAAATCGCCCGCCTACAGCCTGTGGCTAAATGATCCCCAAGCGAGTCGTGGGTCTATACTCTTCGGCGGCGTTAACAAGGCCAAGTACAAAGGCGAACTCCAGACTATCCCCATCGTGCGCACTATTAGAGGGTATTCCTATCTAGCCGTTACCTTGACCGGCTTTTCCGTGGAACACGGCAAGGAGTCCGATGACTACTCCACTCAGATGCCTATAGTGGTGCTGCTTGATTCGGGTACCACCTTGACATATCTGCCCGACTCGCTCGTCGAGGAGCTCTACAAAAAGTTCGACGCTACCTTCCTTGAGGACGATGGACTAGCATATGTTGACTGCGACCTCATGGAAAAGGATTATACCGTGAATTTCGACTTCTCCGGCGCCACCATCTCCGTCGGAATTAGTGAGCTGGTTCTTAACGCGGTTGCCGAGGACTTCCCTGAGGGAACCTGCGCCTTCGGTGTTGTCCCCGGCGGAGACGGCCTGGACGCTATGTATATCTTGGGAGACACCTTCCTCCGCAGCGCCTACGTCGTATATGACCTCGGTAACAACGAGGTCTCTCTTGCCAACACGAACTTCTCTCCCGGTAAAGATGACATTCTGGAGATCGGCACCGGCACCAGTGCCGTGCCCGGCGCCACCCCGGTGGAGTCCCCTGTCACCTCGGCTACCGTTGCATCCGCCACTGATATTCTCCATACCGTCACGGTGGGTGGCACGAAAGCCACTGCTACTAGCTCGAATTCTGGTGCCGCTGAGACCTCATCCTCGAGCGGCATGGCAGCCTTACCCACCGGCAACACGAGACATCTTCTCTCTGGCCTCGCGGGTGCTGGTCTTCTTCTTGCCTTGTAATGATTTTTCTTTTTGGCTGGAGGATGCATACTGGATTGTTACTGACCTTATAGATTGCATGATTAATAGCCGTTGAAGTTGGAGATATCGCATTGTATAATACTTAACTGGACATTTCTGTACATATACCATGTTTAAAAGTAAAACGACGACATAGATTTACAGGTTTACTGGTCACACTTCGTTCGTAGCCAAACTATTCTATAAAATCCACATGAGCCCCATAGATACTCACTCAAAAGTGTCTTGTCCTATCTCCGCCACGAAAAGCACCCCAGACGATTTTGAATGATTGATTGATCGATTAATTAATTAATTATACCCCACACAACAAACTATAAGCTCAGAATCACATCCCGACTTCAATTAATTCATAGACACCCAACAACCCTCCACCACCATATCTGTTGATCCCAACTCACACGAACAACAACAGGGGCAAAAAAATAAATAAACAAATAAATAATAAAGAAAGAAAGAAAAGGAAAACAATACACCCACCTCGTGAAAACGCCCTAGCTTACCACCCCAGCTTCAAACCCCTCACCAGAACCATTCCTCTCCGTCCTCGCCCAACAGTGCAAAACACACACACACACACACACACACACACACACACACACACATCCTTTATCATGCTCGCCCCAACTACCCCAGGACTTTACACCCTTCACCATCCACTACATCGCCCATTGAAAAGAAATCCTCCTTAACTCGGAAGTAATCCAGAAGAAGATCTAGGGGAATGAAGCGCAAGGCGGGGTGATTGTTGTGTAGTAACCTTTTACAAGGAAAGGGTTATGGATAAGGGTATTACGGAAGTATGGGTATTTTTTGAGCCCTGAGGTGGATGAGAATAGTTCGGAGGGAACCAGTCTGATCATGGGTTTGAGGACTAGGGTAATATATTCCGGATAAATCAGTAGTCAGAAAAGATCAGGTAGGATTTTGCCGTTTACATCCATTGTAAAACAATTGCTTACATGAAAAGCTATATAGACAATCCGACTATATTTGAACATAACAAACCTTATTTAGCAGTATCGAGGCCATACTTTTCGTTTTGAAGATCCGTTTAGTGTTGCAGTCATTCAGTTGTCCCAGCAATATGGTAGATATATAATCCCCTCACTTCATTGTATCTTTACTTCTCTTCCCTTTCTCTTTAATCCTCAGCACGGTACTTGGCTATTAAGATATGCTAACAGCATGTCCGTTTGATTGTCTCTATATGCAGAGACACACCCAAAACGAGGTGTCAACATCGACATCGACAGGTCGAATGCTACGGGTAGAACTGTGATGGTGGGTTCACACTCCACGAAGAAATTGACAACCCTGTGCAGAGTCCAGACACCACAGATTGTATTGGCTAGATTATGAAACATGTCAGAGGTGAAGAGGATATTAAGGATGACTGTAGTTAACATAAGATCACAAACTATAAGTATGATAGGCTAGTGACAGGCATGGATCCATGGATGTCATCGACCTTTCCACGGAAAGTAATAGAATATCGCCCCCAACCCCCATTAGAGGATGTTTCTAATTGTATAGAGAATAATAGCGGCCAAGTTGTTGATGAGTCACGTCTTATAAACCCTAGGAAAGGGTGGACTGTGGACTGGATTCGTGGTGCGTGGTGACATATGACCACCATAGCCCTATCACTGGGGACCAAAATAGAGGGGCAAGAATAGTGAATGATTTTTGGGTCGGTAAAGTACAGGGCAGAGGCTTGTTTCACATTGTCATGGTTCGGTATTGTATGTAAATACCAAGACACATCTTACCCCACCTCTACCCAACCGGAAGTCTCAATATGCAATCAACAACTACAGTAGCAGCACAATATGACACGACCCTTTTGACTCCTGACATATTCTTTATTATTTTTATTATTTATTTATTTCTGGTCTCTTTTGAGGGGGCTATATCGCGTTTGAAAGTAATCATCACCTGCAATGTCGACTTCTTTTGGTCAACTCTATACCTCTAGGCTGAGTGGTGAAGGCGAGTTTAGACTATTGACAGTCCAGCCAGAGATAGGCGAAGATCAATGGATTCATTGTATCCTGCATACTGTAAACATAAAAGAGCACCCTGGCTACATTTGTCTCTCATATACTTGGGGTCCCCCGACATCCGAAGCAGCAGACGAAGGTATCACAAGCCGCGCAACACATTATATTAGATGCAACGGGAACACTATCCTGGTCACTAAAAACCTCTACGACTTCCTACAAAGAGTACGTCGCGACCGCGAGTTGTGTTCGCAGAATTTTTGGGTTGATTCTATTTGTATCAACCAGGAAGACCAGATAGAGAGAGCCAGCCAAGTCAGTTCTATGGCATCAGTTTACCGATCCGCGGACATGGTCATTGCCTGGCTGGGCGAAAAGGACATATACACTGAGGACGCTTTCTCCCTCATCAGGACTGTGGGATCCCTTTCTGAAGACAATCTCAAGCAGATTGTAGCGAGAAATGTAGGCGCTGAGGATATCGTGGACTTTCGACGTCCTCTTTCCAGTGATTGGGCATGGAATTCAATGAAACAACTGTGGAGGCGCAACTACTTCAAACGAGCTTGGATTATTCAAGAGGTGGCTCTGGCGAAGAGGATATTAGTCATTTGTGGTGAATATTTTCTCGACTGGGACCATATTGCTCGTGTTTCCAGAATTCTAACACTGACGCCTTGGAAACGGGCGTCAAATATGAATGCACACGACCGAAAAGCCCGAGTCGATTCAACTCACACCCTGCCACTATACCTTAACTCAAACCGTAAGATGGTGTCTTCAGGGAAAGGCTGTGATTTATTATCCATACTTATCAAGGCGCGGCGATTTCAATGCTCTGATCCAAGGGACAAAGTATATGCCTTGCTTGGTCTCCTGGGAGACCACGCAAAAGATAAGATGCGTCTCCGACCCGTCTACAAGGGCCGATCCACTGCTGACGTCTATGTCTCTACGGCGATCCAGATATTGGAAGACACAAATGATCTATTACTCCTTGCTCACGCAGAGGGGCAGGATTTTCAACACATAGAGGACCTCCCATCCTGGGTTCCTGACTGGTCATGCGAAAAGGGCTTGGGCCTTGGAATTACCGGGTACACAAGATTCGCTGCTGCGGCAAGCCTACCCCGGTTTCTTAGAATTGATGAATCAAATAAATCCCTAGTCGTCCGTGGCTTAAAACTTGACAGAATCGTTCAAGTTGGCGAGTCCAAGGAAGACGCGATCAATCATAAGGGTCTCGCGTATTTTCCAGGTTGGATTTCTATCTTATCAGCTCTTCCTCCCAAGTACCACACCGGACAGCCAAGCACTGAAGTATTCTGGAGGACCCTTATCACCGATACAGCTGGGCCTAACTCTCAACCAGCACAGCACCCGGCAGCAGATAATTTTAAGTTTGCATTTTCCAGTTGGCTTGGGGAGCTAGTTTCGCGATGGAGAGATGAGCCCCCATCTACGGAGAAAAAGCACTTTCTAGAGAAGATCGACCACCTGGGCGCCTCGGACCAGTCTGGTCTTTTTCTATATGTCATAGAGAAACAAAGCACAAGCTTGTTAAACGATTCAGATCGCAGCGCCTTACTCAAGCAAACCAACAGCAGCGATCCTCCCCTTACGGGCGATTACGAAGTCCGCTTAAACTATTCTACCCAGACAAGGCTGGTACGAACCAACAATAACTACCTGGGCCTCGCTACAACATCTGTTAGAGAAAATGATTCTGTGTGGATTGTGGCTGGCTCACGGATCCCGCTCATCTTGCGAGAAACCAGTCAACGACATGTGTATAGGCTCGTCGGAGGGGCGTATATCCATGGGTTCATGCAGGGGGAGGCATTACAAGCTGATACCAAATTTACAGATATCGAGATAGTGTAGAAAGAAAACCATGTAGAAAGCATCCCATCGTTTAGGAAGTGCATTTGCCAACTATATACGGGGCCAGACTAGCACAGCTGTGTTCCTCTTCTTCTTTTTCTGCCTTGTCCCCCTTTTTTTTTTTTTTTTTTTTTCTTCCCCTGTGGGCATGCTCAAGAACTAGATATAGTGATAGATAGACATGGGAGCGTTATTAACTGAGCTGTGAGTTCATGAAAAATCCAAAACATCTTGTATCACTGCCAAAATTTGTTAATAATAAATTAACTGTGTACATGCTTGTGTTCCTGGCTTAGACTTTGAGAAACAATCTAGAAAGTCTAGAGTAAGCAGGGCAGCCATGATACACGCGTGATACATGATACCATGATTTTAATGTATGGAAATACGCCGTTTTAGCTGTGACGCGACAAACGATACGGGAGAGATCCATCGGGAGGGTACCAAATGAATAGAAAGCCAATTTACTAAGTACCACAAAAGTTAAGACCATACGGTGAAGTAAAGAATTAAACGAATAGCGCTCTCCAGTGATGTGTTCGTAATCCCAATCTCCGTATTGATAACAGTTCCATCCGACTACTAGTACTACTACTAATGAGCGCTTAGTGTGCAGTTCATCGATTGGTGGCTGAGGATGTCGAGTCGAGGCGCGTATACGTATGCCGGACCCACTGTTTATTAGCCCCGATTTTTCGGCTTATGTTCGTTTCTTTAGTCGAGTTCTTTGTTAACACAAATTCTCGACTTCTTCAATCGCGTCTTGGAGAAATACCTATGTGAATCGCGAACTGAATCAGTATGCGCCACACGTGCTGCTGATCGATCTGAGATCTCCGACTGTCATAGTAAACAAGGGAAAGAGGCACCACATCTCAGCTCCTAATTCGCAGCCGCGAGTAACTTCCGTGGCTCAGGAATCTGTCTGCCTGGGCCGTGACAAGCTTTTGCTAATGCGTCGAATCGTCTGGACCTCTGATTTGGTCACCCCACCCATGAACTATGCTAGCCGGAGAGCCACAATGTTGCGCCAGAAGATGCCACAACCAATCCCGACATGACTCGATGTGACAGTACACTGGGTCACCAGCGACGAAGGTTTCTGATTCGCGGGACACATGGCTAAAGCATGGACAAAATATACGTCGACCGGTCGAAGAAGGTGACGACGCAAGGGGTGCCGTTGCGTAGAGACGAATGGCATGTTCGTGCCTGAGTGTAAGATTGTGGAGAACATCAACAACCAACACGCGCTAGATGCCACTGGAAGCCACAAGACGTGTGTCTGCCAGAGGTGGCCACCCATTTTTATCCTTAGAATGACTTGCGAGCGTTTCAGATGGTGTTCGTTTAGCTGTCCGACTTGGGGCTATCCAATTGACACTACGATTAGTCCTCCCGACGGTGTGATTCGAAACGCAACGACAAGCCTTGGCCCTCACCTCATCATGGATATTGGGTCTAGGTGCTGACGATTGATTTATCGGACTCCACTTAGTACGGAAAACTTGGGGAATTGTCTGTCGACTGGCAGCGTTATATACACCGTGCAACGCGCTCGCTTCTGGACTCTTGATCGTTTAGCTTGGATAGTTTCTCGCTCCTTTTTAGCTGGTCTACTAACGCTCCTTTATTTTGATCACAACCACCATGCAGTGGAAGTCATTCCTTTTGTTTGTTGCCATTGCCGACTCGGGCCTGGCTCGCCTCCATGGCCACCAGCGTCGGCACAAACACCATCCCGCCCATCCAGATCTGCAGGCTCCAAGAGCGGATCTGAACGCCAGAGATTTGGAAGTTAAAACCGTCGTCGACCTGGATGTCGTTACCGTCACCACTACTATTACCGGTAAACCCGTGGCCGAAACCCCTGTCCCAGCCACCAGCAGCAGCACCACTACCGTTACGGCAGCACCAGCCGAAGTCACCCCCGCGGATACCCACGAAGATGTCATTAGCATTAACCTCGGCGCCAGCATTGGAGTCTCCGCCGCTGCAACCTCTCTTGTCCCCATTGCAGAGAGCACCGCACCAACCAGCACTCCAGCGGCCAGCACCACCGTCTCAGGAGGATCCACCAGCTGGACATCGACGCCCTCCAGTGGAGAGTTCTCCACTAGTGGATTCGGAACGCGCACCAACTCTAGTGGCAGCGGCATCGAGTATAGCGGCAACGTTGGCAGCCCCTGGGGAAGCAACATCATCGAAGTGAGCGCCAGTACCGCATACCAATACAGGTATGTCGTCCAGTTTACCGGCAGCAACACGGACGACTGGACCGTCGTTATCTGGAACAAGATCGGCCCCGATGGCAAGATGGACGGCTGGTACGGTCACTCGGCTCTGAACTTCACCCTGGGCGCCGGCGAAACGAAGTACGTCGCCTTCGACGAGGACTCGCAAGGGGGTTGGGGTGCGGCGAAGGGGTCGTCGCTCCCCACGGATGAATACGGCGGATACTCATGCACCTGGGGAGAGTTCGACTTCGGAAGCACGATCAACGACGGCTGGTCTGGATGGGATGTCTCAGCTATTCAGGCGCAGGCGGCTGGACAGACCGTTCAGGGAATGAAGATCTGTAACCACAACGGAGAGACCTGCTCAACGATCACTTCTGGCGCATCAACGGTGACCAACGCGTATACCAAGGCGGAGGCCGCGGTGGACGGCATTGGCGGTTCGCTCAACACAGATTCGGTGCGCTTGGTGGCCGTTCTGGATTATAGCGCATGATTTGTAAATATGCATAGACATGTATATATATAGCTTGTCAATCGGAGGAGTGTATATATATGGATGGATAGATATATCTGATCTCATTTGTTCGCGAATGTTATCCGGGTTTTCCAGATCCCAAGTCTCTTTTTCGCTTCCCGCTTCTTGGCGCGTTGGAACACATGATGTTTCGGAGGTCCTTGCCTAGTAGGGTTAAAAAAATAAAAAAAAAAAAAAAAACTTTGGATGTGTATATTAGACTATCATCTAGGGTATATTTTAAGACAATGTTAGGGTAATTCTCCACCAGTATTTGTGGTTGCTCGGATATATATATCCTAACATAGTATCTTGGGCGGTCACCACATACTGCCCACTTTCTTCATCTCTTGCACATTCCCATCCTACTCTGTACTTCATGTCATATCCCTCTTCCTTTTTCAATATGGTGGAACGAAGGCTTCTTCTGCATTATTTTCTTAATTACTCTCCCCGAGGACCAACGTGGTTAGAAGAATAAGAATTAAAATTGTACCAAGTGCCGACCAAATGCTGACAGAACAACGCTAAAGATTTTAGATAGCGGTTGATGTGCGAGTCTCCAGACGGAGCCTCCCGCATTTCCGCAGCGAAAGTCTGGTCCGTTCTATAAAAGGCATCATGAATGCACATCAAAGTTCTGACGAGGTAGAGAGACTCCAGAGAGGGAAGGATTGACATGGTCGTATAATCCTGGCTGCCAAATGGCCCCCAACGGCCCACTAACACGGGAAATGCCAGATGAAACGGCCAATGCGGTCGCACGTCGTTAGTCACTTGGAGTGCACGGCTCGCATTGATGGGCAAAGAATGTCGCCAGCCTTGCAGCGCTCAGCCTCGCGATTTTTATTTTAACCTCAAGTCCTGCCCCTCTCTTCGCCTTGTCACTGTCTCCGCTGAGGCTCTAAGGACTGGTACATAATAACTTGTGCGAATGCATGTCTTCCGAGGACTGAACCGTCACGGACGCAATGCTGGAATTTAAAAATTCCATAGGCGAGAGGCTCGCCAGGCGATTCAATCCGGGCTCCAAAAATCATACGTTGGTTCAAGTGCAGTCCGAGGAACACAGGGATACCGATCCTAGTCGAGAAAATGACACGCTAACGGCCAGTTATCATGGCCCCGATAAAAACGGTGGCAGTTCATCCCAGCTGTGGACCCCAACTGTCCTCCGCCCGTGGGCCTTCGTCGCATTTGCGACGCTCTTTATTGCCATCCTGATAGTAGTCCAAGTGCTTTATAGCGTGTCAACCAAAAACAATGGTATTAGTGCGAGTGATGCAAAGTACCGTTATCTCTGGACGTACGGTCCAACTGCTGGTAGGCTATTGTTCTCACAAATGTGATGGGAACCCTGCTGACATCTTGCGAAGTACTAATTATCGTGGCCGGAATCTGGGGACAGGTGGAGTACCGCACGAAGCAACTCATGCCATGGAAACTCATGGGCCAAACCCCAAGACCGGCATCGCAGACTTTGCTACTAGATTATGTTTCGGACTGGAACGTAGTCACTTTGTTCAGGGCCTTGAAGCACTGTCATTGGGTCGTTGCCATCGCAGTTCTCGGAACCCTGCTCCTGAAGCTGCTGACGGTCGCTTCGACAGGCCTGTTCATGCTTCAAAATGTCCACGTCAGCAATGTCCACACCGAATTAAGAGCGGAAGCGACGTTTAGCGGCACGGGCTATAGCAGTGAGGACGTTGATAGCAATGCTGCGCTGACCGTTGTCGGCAATAAATTTCTCAATCTCCCCCATCCCGTCGGAACCACGGACAAGTATGCGTTTACCCCTTTCCACGGATCCAATACACCATCAGGTAGGTCAAGGCATCATGTCTCGGAAGGCCACAGATTTTTTAACTTCAATATAGCTTCGAACACGATTCTCTCCGGCACGGTGGATATGTTCTCCACTGATCTCAGCTGTAAAATAGCAACGGTCAAAAACTGGACTCAGGGATGCGAAACCAAGCATTGTGAACAAACACTATTCAACTTGACTTTAAGTACCCCGGAATGCCCACAGTACCAGTTCAACGCATTCAAAAGAAGCACTTCTGCTGTGGGTGGATGGCATGCGAACGTCTTCTCCGAGAGGTGTGCCACCTCGAATGATGACATTAACACTGACCGAGTGATTTTCGCTGCTGCCCACTGGTTGAATAACAGTGCACAGGTTCAGTCCCTTGTTTGTGAGCCTACGTACACGATATCACCAGGCTTGGTCTCATTGTTTAAAAG